AATGAAGTCCAAATTACAACACAGGGTTGCGAAGAACAAGTCTCTATTGTTTCCCTTCTTCTCCAAATGGGTGTCACAGTGAGCCGTGGGGCAGTGACCGTTACTGCACAATTTAGTCTCCCCGTTGTCTCAAGAAGGCCTCATCTTAGTTTCTCAGATTAGACAAATAGCCCCCCCTCATCCCCTATCACCCCCTCCTCTCCTCACCCCCCCCACCCCCAACTAAATAGGCCAAATCTCTTCTATTGTGTGTAGACTGCACAGTGTGAAATCCACTGTGACGTTAAATGTTTTCTAATGAATAATTAGTGAAAGGATATGCAGGGGGAATATGTGTAATGGATTGTAGACTGCATTTTAAAACTTTTTTTTTCTCCTCTCCTTATTTTCCCGGACAAAAAAAAGGTTGCCTTTCACATAAGTAACTGCGATTGTTACCAAAAAAAAAGGATAGGGAGTTGGGGAGCTTTGTGTCAATTTGATCCTATGGATTATCTTTTTAGGGTTTTTTTTGCATAGAAGATTGCAAATCAAAGGATGCCTGCCCTCCTAAAAAAAAAAAGAAAAGGGTTTTTCACTTAAAAACTGGCAGCCATGAAACGTATTGGCCAACTCGGGGTTTGATTTTTAAAAACGGGACAACCTGAGTCGTGGGATTTTTTTTTCTCGCTGCTCTGCTCTTCTTTGATTTTGGCAGTCTCAAAGGTGCGCCTGTTCGCTTAACGTGCCCCCCACCCATAACCTCTGGAGAAACTCCCACAGGAGGGGACTGTGCTGGCTGCTGCTCCTTGTAGCTGAGGTGTGCGTACACACTCCTCGGGCTCTGCTCTTGTTTGGAGCAGCTCTGCTGTTTACAATCAAGAATCTCTCTCCCAAACACACACACACTCCAATCTCTTTAAACCCCCCCTACTGTCAACAGAGGGTTTAAAGTCTTTTATATCTAAATACCATGGATCATTGTTTGCTATTTTATGAAACGGCCACACAATATTCCAAAGAAATTCTGTAAGAGAATGAATTGCTCTTATTTGCATTATGCCTTCTGTACAGGCCTATTGTACAGTATATGTCATTGCTCTGTAGATTGTAAATAGAAACATTTATATATATAAACCATACACAACTACTGTAAAATAAAACAAGAGGAATGCACATTCACTATTTGTTGAACAGTTTGTTTAAAGACAAAAGCTACGTTTATCCAAAACGTTTAGCTCAGCCCTCTGCTGAAGCACTTTGCATAAGGTCCAGATGTTGGTCAAAACATGCCAGTTAACTATTAAACTTCAGCTGAAAGTTTTTCTACATTCACATCACTGATGTAATGGTGGATGAAATTCAAGTTTAAAAATGGAACTTAAATTCTCTTGGGCTTATTTTACAGTTGGCACAGGTCAGAGCAGAATTCATCAAGCAAAACTACAGACCTGAACTAAAATGTGAAACATGGACCTCTCTCCCTGTGCAGTAATGGCCCTTGATTTGGTACATTGATGCCCTGACGACTGTAGTAATTTTGTGTGTGTGGAGCAGTGAGAGACATTCCTAAAGGATTTTGTGTGTTTTAATTAACAGTGCCCTCATTTGGCTTGAACTCATTACTCTCCATTTCTGTTAAAGTTCCCCTGATGTTTCCTACTTAGGAATGTCACAATATCACTTTTAATTAGATCCAATTTTGCCTAAAACATGGGTACTGAATAAATGAAACATTGTTTAGTGCACTCGAGCTCCCTCTTCAGGACACAGCGAGCAGTGGTTAGCTCTATGACCGCAGATAAACCGCAGTTTATTCGCCGGAGATTCTAGCTCCTTTCTATAACTTAAAGGACCTTAATTAAACAGGTACTGCAATTATTGATCACTTATCTCCGATGAGGAGGAGCACGTATGAAGCAGCCTGATATATCAATTAAAAAACTCCCTGCGAGCAATTTAGAATTAACCGATTTGGTCATTAATTAACAAGGTTCAGTCTGTAAAATACTAAGCAGTGTCCTAGCCTGGCTCTGTTGACGTCGGATTCCGACAATGCAAACGGGAATCAGCCGACAGGAAGTCTTTTAGTGAAACTTCGGGAAGTTGTGCTGAAGTACTGGTGTGCGAGTATACTCGTGGAGCGTTCGTGTCCTTCACGTCCCTCCCTTGGGGGTCGAGAGCGTCGGAAAAAGCAGAGGAAAATAATAAAAATACGGGAATCACGGCAGGCTTGGACTATCTCCCACTTAAAGACAACACCTGGATGGTTTCGGGTTTCATGAGACTCGGAGCTATAAAAAAAACTCATTTGCCTTGAATAAGATAGATAATAAGAATGATTCTATTGCTCTTCAGCCGAAAGAGAGGATTTAACTGGCAAGCCTTAAATACAGATCTCAACCCCTCTCTTGCAGTCTGGATTGGCTGCGTTATTGTAGGCCTCCAAATGATCACTGCAGTATTATAACGGAGGTGCATCCTTCCCATTACACTCTACAAGTGTAAAAGTGTTTAAAAACATAATGCTTGCTTTGCATTTTTTCCCCTGCGAGGTACAATATAACAGTTTACTGATTGTTGATTTCCATTGGTGATATGGCATATGTTTGTACATTAAGGTGTAGCAATGTCGAAAAAAAAACCACTTTTCAGGAATAAGGCGATTTTGAATCATCGTTCTCATCAGAAAATGCAACTTATTCAAAAGAGTGCAATTGTGCCCCACCTGCTTCCTTCTCCCTCCCTCTGAATTTCTCAGTATGCTGATGGCTTCCTATTGGTGGAAGCTGGTTGGTTTTAATACTGTATGTCAATGTTTCCTGACTTTTTAAAAGAGTCGTTTCCCCTCAATATGCATCAGTACTCATTGAGTTACGGACAGGAAGCACATATAGGCAAGGTAAGATACTTCATTTTCATTACAAAATAAATTACAGAATTTATCATTCAAGCACAGTATCTTAAATTAAGATGTGATTCTAATGTCATCAACTGGGAATGGACAAGTGTAACGAAATACAGTTTTCTTATTTTACACTGACAATATATTTTATATATGGTCAAAGTAATGTATTACTTTGACCATATGTAATATACAAAGTGTTGGTGAGAGAAAAATAGGAATTCCAGTGAAAGCTAAATTAATTTGCTTTATAGTGGAAAATGAGATGTCCTTTTTTTTTCTGAAAGGTCTTAAGAAACATTCTCTGAGGGACACTCAGAAATTAACAGTTGTTCCACCTAAACTCGATGAAGCACACAGGATGCTAAAAATATATTTCTTGTGCAACATGTAGTGAAGTACAGGAAGGTACTGTACATATGAAAGCAGTCAGAGCAGCTGCAAATTCTGTTTTTACACCTGCTCCAAGACTTGTTCGGGTCAGGCTTCATACTACAGTAAATACACATTGGATCAGAATGGTGTCAGCCAGTTTCAGAGGAAATCTAGAACTTGAAGTAAGTGTCCAATATTCTCAGTTTGTGTTGAGTGTCTAATACAGTATGTGTGCATTCTGTTAAAAATACCTTTTACTGGTGTATAGACAACAGCACAATGAAGAGAAAGTTTAAAATGTAAAACCACCTATACATTGTTAATATGCATTTAGAGGCTGGCTTATCTTACCTACTGGGGAGGAGTTTTTGTCAATTTATAATAGGTTCTAGGTTCATGCCAAATGTCTTATCCACGTCTTTAAGAGGTCAAAATATAAACTAGACGTATAGTCTGAGCTATACCCTACTGGTGATGTGTTGTTGCGATAGTAATCCTGCTCAGTATGAGAGGAACTGCACTTTCAGATGTTTCAGATGCTCTTTCTGTGCTTGGCTGAGAAGGCAGTGGTGCAAAGCCACCACCTGTGGGATTATGAGTGCACGCCTCAAAGTCAGAATCTCCCTGATCTCAGCTCTTGATTAAGAATGATTTTTCTTAAAACATGAATTATTGTCCACAAAATGGAGCTTTTAATCAAAGTATCCTGAAGATATGTAGACAGATGTGCTAATATGCCATTAGTATATTGTGTTAAGTACCTTTGGGTGCGTGCACAAAGGTTCTGCTAAGAGCTCTAAGGCTTCTAGGTGCTTTGTGAAAGGCTGTAGTGAGCTCAGTCTTCAGCAACTGAACACCTACCAGCCATCCCACAGGATCAGGTACCCTTTGCTTTTAATTTGCAAGGCTTTGTCAGAGTGACGAGCAGTCAGGTTAGAGTTAATGCGTGTGACTCAATGTCAAGCACAAAGCCGAGCATGCCCAAACACACCAGTGGCATGTACATCAGACAGGGCCAGGCGTCAATGTCTGTGCTGAGCACTTAGTGGAGTTCTCTGCTGCAGCTGGCTGTGGAACAGAGGGTAAAGAGAAGCAGGGAGGGGGGTCCACCAAGCTGTGGCACGTTTTTGGCCCAATCTAGTGTCGGAAGGGGAAGCAGAACACATCCTCTCTTCCAGCAAGAAGTGATGGATTGTCCCTGGGCTAGGAAACAAGGAAGGCGATTAGATATGAAATCCCGAAATGAAATCATTCATACTTCCAAAGAATCCGTTCAAGGCCTTTGTCAATTCTGAAAAGGTTTTCTTTTGCTGTTTTAGAGTGAATCCCATGTGAACAATTTATTTTCAGAGACTTTCAGAGAACCTAGAAGACTTTTCTATTCTCCAGATAAAATGCCAGACCAGTAAAATCCCTTCAGAAAGGTATCCCATGAGACAGGCTGTGGTGGTCAGAGTTGTGGTCTGAATAATTGTTTGCACCAGAACTAATTTTAGATATTGGTTTTTACACAGACACCCTTTGGATCTATGTGAGAAACAGTGAAAACTGATCAGTTAGCGACTTCAACAGTTTTTTTAAATATAGAAACAAACAGTTTTAGAATGAACTGAGCTACACAGGAAGCAAGAGCTCTGGTCTCCACCCGTTTTGTTTTTGCCAGAAGAAGCCGATCCATGACCACGAGTGGCGACAGCGTTGTCGTCTGTAGATAAACGTGAAGGAAGTGGGGCTCTGGGGACTGGGGGTGTTAAGTCCAGTGAAGGGTCAGGCATGACAGCGCCCTGATAAACTCAGACTGCAGGAATGGCCGCAGAGGCCCCATGCTCAAGGTACAGTACCACTCAGGAACACAAGCACTCCCAATAAACAAGGGAAGGGGCAAGTATATTAGTTGTCCATTGATGTTTTCTAAACAGAAGTGGGACACTGAGTTTTAGATGTCTATTTGGTGACCAGATCACTGCAGGATGGTCATTTGAAAGTTTTATTCTATAAGTGTTGTTAATATTATTTATTGGCTTTATGAAGGTCAGAGGTGCTGAAGTTTGTTCTGTAGGGTGTTTTATCTTGAGGTGACTGAGTTAATGAAGATCCTGGAGTCTCACAGGAACCTTAAATTCACATTTTTTTACATTTCAGTGCTAGAAACCAAGCCTTCAAATGTTACCTAGCTAATACACCATTTGGTGGTTGTGACCTCTATTTCCAGTGACTTCACAGTTTTTACAATGTATGGTAAATCCGTTGTGACACATGTGATTAACCCTCGTTAATCACATTCACTGCCGGCTGTCTGAAAGCAGTCGCAAAGATTGTGGGCTTGGCAAGGCTCAGTGAGGCTCAGGGCCGGTGCTAGACTCCGACACGTGCTGAAGAGTCGGGCCGTGGCGAGAAATCTGTTCTGATTGGTTGCAGAGCCCGGAAGTGCGCAGCAGCCGTATCCAGCTGAACATGGAGGGGGCCCTGACCGCGCGGGACCGCGTGGGCATCCAGGACTTCGTCCTGCTGGACGCCTACACCAGCGAGGTCGCTTTCCTCGACAACCTCCGGAAACGCTTCCGGGAGAACCTCATCTACGTAAATACCTCTCGTTATTTCTCTGTAGAGAGCCACCACGACTCTTGCAGATACAACCTTTTCTTGACTGAGTTCCCTCTTGGGTGATTTACTGTTGATCTACTGGCTCTGTATAAATTCATGACTCCAACGCCACCTTCCACAGATAACTTATTCGACTGAGGATTTTATCACCTTCTTATGCAGCTGGGTATTTGACTGAAACCAATCAGGTGCAGCACCTTACTTAAGGGCGCGACAGCCATGTCTTCTCTGGGATTTGAACCCTGACCACTGCCCCACTCTGCACATCCGAAACAGAAAAGCAACTTCCAAAACCAAAAATCATGACCTTCCGAGGGAAATGCTTTTAATCGTAAAATCCTGCGCAGTTGCAGTTCACCTGCAATTTTTTTAACAAGCATGTTTTCAGAAAGGAATGGAGTCTGCTGCAGTAGGTTACCGTGTCTTACAGGAGTCCGAGTATGTTCAATGTCAGAGACCCCCTGAAGCCTGAAATGATTTTTTATCGAGACCAGTCTTTCAGTTGTGTTGTAGGGTGATTTTCAGAAGCAATGGCTGCCTCATCAGAAGGGACCTTGTCTCAGAAACCTAAAAGTTGGTAGTGCCTGTACTGCAGCACTAGGGACTGTAGTGTGGAGACGTGGGTACCAGGTTTCTGCTGGGGTCATTAGAGATAATTAGAGGACCCTGACTCATTAGTAGCATGTACAGAAAATGTGTGTCTCCCTCAGGGTCCTTATGTGGCCCTGCTCTGCCTCACTGCTCAAGCTATTCAGCACATGACAAGCTGTAGATGGGTCAGAGATTAGAATCAGACAGTGCCATTCATGGCCCAGTGGGCTCCGAACTCTGGCTCTCTGTCTGCCTGTGTTGCTTAGGCTATTGTCCCTGCAAAAAAACAACAAGCAGCCGGGCATTCTGTTCCAAACAAAAACAAGCAAATTAGTCTGCAAAGGACAAAGCACATTTCTGCATCAGGCCTGGTTTGAGTATTGATTGGTGGCAGTGTGCTTTAGCATTTGGTCCTTCAATAAGACACTTAAGATTTCTTCTTCTCTGCTCTCATTCACTGATATTTAAGCAGTTAACGCAGTGAATACAATTCAGACAGCTTGGGTGCTTTCTAATTGATTTTTATCTCTTCGGATTCTCACGCAATCTGTTTGCTCTCTCAGACATATATTGGTACGCTGCTGGTGTCTGTGAACCCCTATAGGGAGCTGGAGATCTACACCAAGAAACAAATGGACCTCTACATGGGAGTCAACTTCTTTGAGCTGCCACCCCACCTGTGAGTCAGCCTGTGTGTTTGTCGTGTGTGTATCTGTGTAGAAGTGCATGATGTCAGCACTGACTGCAAACTTCAGGGCTGATCACTGGATCTTGCAGTCCTACAGGATGTGCCGTTGTCTTTTACATAGTTGGAAAGTGTTAATTTCACCACTTAAGCAGAAACAATGAATGATAAAATATTACCTAATAAATAAATAAGTTATCTTGGAACCGAATCCAGAAATGTCAGACTCTTATCTTAGACTGTATTGACACCAAGATGGAAGGCTGGCTTATTATAAAGTGTGCTCTGTGCCCCTGAAGTGCCCTCTGGTTTGTGTTTATTGTGTTGCACTAGTTATGCCCTGGCAGATAATGCCTATCGCACCATGCTGTCGGAATCCAACAACCACTTCATCCTGATCTCCGGGGAGAGTGGAGCTGGAAAGACTGAGGCCTCCAAGAAGATCCTACAGTTCTACGCTGTGAGCTGCCCCAGCACAGAGCAGCTGCACAGCGTGAGAGACTGCCTGCTGCTCTCCAATCCCGTGCTCGAGGTCTGAGCCCCTGTCACGTGCTCACTACTCACTATGAGCCCAAGCTATGTTGTCTACCATGCAGCGGCTCAGAATAAGCTAGAATTAGAAATGCATTTGTCTTCAATTCTTTCATAGTGGGTAGAAGAACGTTTATTAGGTATGATCTAGTTATTGGCTAGATCCTACCATCCATTATCAGAAAGATGCTTATTCCCAGTGAGGACTGCAGTAATCTATCCCAGAAGCACAGCCTGCAGATTAGATGGGACACCAGTCCATTCTGGGTGTATTCACAGACACAGAGAGACAATGAGAGGCCTCAATTAAGCAAGCCATCATGCCCTTGCAAGGTGAGAAGAAATAGGGACACCCAGTGAAATCTTACTCAAACAGGTTGAACATGCACACTCCACACGGAAGGTGCTTCAGAGCATAATCAAGCCCAGGTCCCAAGTAAATACAGATGCTGTAAGATTATGTGAGAAGAAGCTCATTTGAGATATAATACCTCCACAGAAAATCCACATTTTGAGAATCTGTTAAGAGAATGTACTGTTGTCAGTATTACTGAACACTATGCACTGCCCACAGATAAGCTTGTCGTGGTAGGGTGAGGGAGCATGTGAAAAAGAGCATGATGATCAGGATGTCTTCATATAGTTTTATTGCACATCTTTACTAACATAAAAAAACAGTATAAAGAGGCTTTTAAAGAGACGAAAGTGACCATTGTTATGGTGAAAAACCTCTCTATGAAGCTGAAATCTCATTTTCTCTTCTGTGTCATTTGCACCACAGAGGGCAAATTGAAACAAGCCAGACTTAAACATCCCAGCTGTGCAGTCTGGAAAGCTTAGAGAAATGCCCAGGCAATTTAAATTGATAGGAATGAAACGGCTCTTGTCACTGAAGGTATAAGTGCTTTGAGTGGAGTGTGCAGAAAAGCGCTATATAAGTGTAAGCAATTAATTAATTAATTAATTAATTAATTAATTAATTAATTAATATAACGCATTGTGATGGATTCCAAAATATTTGTTGTAACATTCATTTGAACAGTCTCCATTTTACTTTCATAATATTGTAGAAATTCTTAGGTTACCTGCTGCATTTTGCTGTATGTAACAAAGAAAATGTCTTTGATATACAGGCAGTCTTCCTTAGTATATCTTTCGGATTTATGTTGTTTTTTTGACAGGCTTTTGGGAATGCTAAAACACTTCGGAATGACAACTCTAGTCGCTTTGGGAAGTACATGGATATCCAGTTTGATTTCAAGGTACAGCAAGTGTGCTCTGGTTGCCAGGGAAGACTGCAATGACTTTTGATCTGTCAGGTTTCTTATGAAACCACTATTAAATATAATTTATAAAAACAAAACATTATTAATGACCATTGGCTCTGGAAACAAAACTCCGTTGACATGAAAAGTACAGAAGATACCGAAGACATACTTTAGAAGAGAGAAAGCATTTATAGCTTAATGCACATTTAAAATACTTTTAGGAGTATATCACTAGAAATAGGTTTATCTTCTGTTTGAGTGAAGGATTGAAAACTGGTGCTTGGAAAATAAAAGAGTTTTAGATAATAGTAATCCTTTATGATTTCTAAGTTTTCATCACTTAATTTTCATTATAGATTTGAAGACAGGGGGCTTAAAAGTTTGGAAGAAGGTTAAGTGTCTCTCAATTTCCAGTGTTCCCAGGACGTTCAGCTGCAGTAACATTCATCTTCCTGTAGGGGGAGGCGGTGGGGGGTCACATCCTCAGTTACCTGCTGGAGAAGTCTCGGGTGGTGCACCAGAACCATGGGGAGAGGAACTTCCACATCTTCTACCAGCTGGTGGAAGGGGGGGAGGAGGAGCTGCTGCGCTGGCTGGGCCTAGAGAGAAACCCCCAGCATTACAGCTACTTGGTACAGGTGAGGTACAGCCTGAAATGGCGGCATTCTGAGCAGTGACAATTTATGTTCTTAGAGGCAGAGCCCAGACCCATAAAATAAGATACAGAAGTGTCTTTTCCACCATCTCCAGTAACATCCAGTTCTCCTCTGGAAGTATTCTTGCTCTAGGGCCTCAGAGCCTGTCAGCCACGTGTTGTAGTGATTCCACCCCTACCAGGTGAAAACTACAGTGCTTTACTCCAGGAGGGACCCCCTGTACTTGACTGCGTGTGGAGATCACAGTGCGTCTCTTGTCTCCCTGGCAGGGGGAATGTGCCAAAGTGAGCTCCATCAACGACAAGAGGGACTGGAAGACTGTGCGCAAAGCTCTCTCCATCATCGACTTCAACGAAAATGATATTGAGGTGAGATTTCTTGTGCCTGCTCTCATGGAGCAAATAGGTTCTGCCTGTATGTGCTTTTAAGCCCCTTAGTGCCCGTGATCAGAACAAATTGAATCAAGGTTTGTTGAATAACTTCCTCTCCGTCCTTACGCAGCAACTGTTCGGGATCATAGCCAGCGTCTTACACCTGGGAAACGTCACGTTTGACCCTGACAGCAAAGGCTACGCCACCATCAAGAGCCACACGGAGCTGCGCTGGATTTCAAAGGTGAGACTGCGATGGCCTTCCAGGGCTCTTCTGCCCTCAGCCTGAGCCGGGGAGACGCAGGGGTCTGACTGTCCCGTCTCTTGTTGTACAGCTGCTGGGGGTCCCGGCTCTGGTGCTACAGGAAGGCCTGACTCACAGGAAGATAGAAGCCAAAGCTGAGGAGGTGAGGCCGCCACACTGAGAGATCAGCGCCAGCAGGCTGAAGATAGGCAGCAGTTCACAAACAGCAGCAAGACCACTTGAAAAATGACTTTAATCCCTGCATGAGAGTTTACTCTGACCAGAACACAGCAAGGCTTAGGAAAGTGTTGTATTAATGGATTTTTTAAAATAAAAACATATATTGTAGTTATACTAATCGGCAACTCTAAAGTGGGAAAACATACAAAAAGCAAATTATAATTAACATAAGGGAAATATAAAAACAATGCAAACTACCATACAGACCTCTAGAAAGGACATGTGCCATTATTTCAAATCTGCAGCCTTAAGTGGTGTATTTGCAGATGTGGTGTATGTTTTTCTTTTTTTTCCCCACACAAACATTTGATAGGAACACAGGGCTTCACACCCAGAGCTTCCAGTGTCATCGATGGTGGAATGCAGTCACTCTTTTCTGATTGGGTTGACTGTGGACAGGCAGGAAAGATCTTGAGGTGTTTCTCTCGTGATCTCTAGGTTCTGAGCCCACTGACTGTGGACCATGCCTACTACACCAGAGACGCCCTGGCCAAAGCAATCTATGGGCGCACTTTCACATGGCTGGTCAACAAGATCAATGAGTCTCTGGCCAACCAGGTGAGGGGAGTCCTTAATGTATCCTCAGTAGAATAATATTCTTTGTGAGTTGTGTATTTGGAATGGCTTTCTGAGAGCACAGCTTACAGTGCACCGATACAACTGTGGCAAGGCTGAGATCCGTTTTTACTTTGATTTCAAAGGCAAAAGTGCATGAAATCATAGTGCTCTTATTTAGTTTCATGGATGAAAAGACTTGAAGGAAACTGATTGTCCCTTTGATTTGGAACTCAGAATAAAGCAAAGGCTACTGTATTCTGTCTATGGCAAATCAAACCTTATTATAATACACTTTTACTGTAGGTTACACAGCCTCCATGCTTATTAAAGCCTGCTTTAAGAAGCTCACACCTTACTGCTCACTCTGTGGTGCACTCCTCTTTCTTAATAGGATTCCAGCAGAAAGACTGTGATTGGCCTGCTGGACATCTATGGGTTTGAAGTTTTCTACATAAACAGGTAGGAGGCTCTTAATCTGCATGTATACATTTTCATTGATGTTTCTTTCAGTTCTTGAAGATAAATCCATTCAAAACAAGCTACAGTACATACGAGTGCTATATACTAGGTTTTCTCACAACTGTTCCTAGATCAGGTCATGGAGAACTACACACCTTTTAGTTTTTGCTTCAGACAAACTCTCAATTATATATCTTTACCTTATGTTCCCTACAAATAGGGTTCATTTGAACTTTCCAATTGTTTTAGGCTCTTAAACGTTGGAGGTTGCCTTGTATCTACTGCATTTTTTAAGTAACTTAAGATCTCCATCTTATGGGATAGGGGAAAATAAAAAGCTTTCAAAGGTTCCTATTAGGTTCCTTTTAGGGTAAATTAAGAATTCAGTTGAGTAAAGGTCTTGGCTGGGATAATAACAAGCAGTAACAGGCAGGTGTGTGTAAGACCAAGACTGGAATGCCCTGCTGTGCACTGTACTGTATATATGGGTCCTCTTCTTCGGGAGCTTTAAATCCATTCACCTCAGGTGGCAGTGTTTGCTATGCTAATTCTTGCATAATAATTATTTACAAGTTCTAGGCTGATATACAGCCTATTTTAAGTTAATGGTTTAGTTTAGCCCTAGTGAAAGTAGCATGACTGTAATGAGTAATGTAGCATGTCAATGACTGGGTGTTTCTCTGCATTTCAGTTTTGAACAGTTCTGCATAAATTACTGTAACGAGAAGCTGCAGCAGCTGTTCATTCAGCTGACGCTGAAATCGGAGCAGGAGGAGTATGAGATGGAGGGCATTGAGGTAAACCTTTTACAGCCCTATATCACCTACAGTATATGCACTAAATGCTTAGTTGTTTTGGTAAAATTAAACTTTCCAATAAATCTCTGGAAAGTTTTTGGTATGTTTAGTGCTCTTTTTTCACAGCTGAAAAGTCACACTGAAGTATATATATGCAATCTATGTTTTGTTCTCAGAGGGTGACACAATTTGTTTTTGGATGAGTGAGTGCTGTATAAGTGTTGGAGTATTACATACATTTGAGGGTTTCACACTCGTTTAGTAACACATTTGAAAGATTGAATGTGATGCACTCAATTATGATGAATAATTGTGATCAAACTCACAGGAACCTCTTCTGTTGACCTTTTCACAGAAGTCTTTCTTTAAGAGAAGTTGAGGCATTTTTCAATTAATCCACATTTTGCTAAACACTGAAGACTCCAGTTTTCCATTCTACATTTTAAACCCCTTTTCTCCTCTCTATGTCTCCTTTACAGTGGGAACCTGTGCAATTTTTTAACAACAAGATCATCCTTGACCTCGTGGAGGAGAAACACAGAGGAATTATTTCAATTCTTGTGAGCAAACAGTCTTGGACACAAAGCACCCATGTGGGCATGAAACACCGTTTCCTTTCCTCCAGTACACTTTAAGATGGACATATCCTTCTGTTCTGATAAGCCGAAAAGACATTTCTGCTGAAATGACTACGTAAATACAATACAACTACTTAACTTCTTGGCAAACAAGACGTACTTGTTCCTTAAGGACTAACAAGTCCTTTTAAGCAGACAGAAATACCTAGGACATCTATAGTCCAAGCAAGATTAATTTAGAACAATAAGATAAGACTCTTCCTCTCCTTCTTCCTGCTTTAGGATGAGGAGTGTCTGAGGCCAGGAGAGGCCACAGACCTCACTTTCCTGGAGAAGCTGGAGGAGAAGATGGGCAATCACCCTCACTTCGTGACGTAGGTACCCCACTTCAATCTTGGGTCTCGCTACAGTGGACCATGTGCACTGAGGATGCCCTCCACATCAGCTTAACTCAAGCAAAATCCCTTTTCTTGATATCGAGAAATACTTGAACACACCAAAACCAAAATGAAAAACTCATGTGACCCAGGTGTCCCTTTTTCCGTTTCTTAATCTTTGTAACAAAAGCAGTGTTGCATTTGTGAAGTTTGCGATCTTTAAGAATTGTACGCTCCTCAGTGCTGGAGCTGCTCAAGGGGCAGCGGTATCCTAGCTGACACGTAGCTTCCTGTCCTGAAACCTTCAGACACAAACTGGCTGATCAGAGGACTCGGAAGACACTGGAGCGAGGAGACTTCCGTCTGCTGCACTACGCCGGCGAGGTCACTTACTGCGTCATCGGTGAGGGAAAAGAAGATGCTCTCAGCTCAACACATGCAGTGTACCTGCACAGTGATCTCCTGAGCCCTAAAGCAAATGAATTATTTTATTACTGGTGTGTGATTAGGATAGTTTGTGACGATGTGCGGGGTGGTTGCTGTCTATTATTGGCTTTATGTTTGTATATTTATATTATATGAGAAACAAATCTATGCAACTAGGTGTTATGGCAATAAGGTATTGAACTTGAACTTGAAAGACAAGGTGCCAATATCTGAGATGGTGACAACTGGATTTAATGGGTGTTTGTTTGGGTGTTAAAAGTGAAGTGTTTTTACTCATTCATGAACTACAAATGTGCTGCATTTTCGTTTTTGACTTTTTTCTCAATGTAGGGTTCCTCGACAAAAACAACGATCTCTTGTACAGAAACATCAAAGAAGTAAGTAACCTGTTAAATATGATGACAAGATAAGGGAATGTGGGATAGTCAATTGCTTAACTGTTTCTCCTTGCACATTAAAGAGTACGGTATAATTGAAATATTTAAGAAAGCTGATATGGCTGATTGCAATAAAATGAACTGAGAGCTGAGTACTGCGCAACTGGGGTACCCAATGTCCCAAATATCGAGGTCACAGTCTAGCAGGTTTCAGGGGTCTCTTTGAGCTACCATTAGTATATGAGTTGTGTAGGAGGGTTGGAGCAGTTGAATGAATCTGTAAATGAACTAGTTTAACCCTCTTCTTACCTTTGGCCTTTAGATGGATTGGCTGGATCGTTGCTTTGAGGATGAGGGTTGCAGGGTTCCTGCTTAAGGGCTTGCAGGGGGGTGTCAGTGGGACTGAGGTGTTTCTTTTGCTGTCTTCTCTACCGCAGGTGATGTGTCAGTCCAAGAATGTCGTTGTGAGGCAGTGCTTCTCCTCCTTGGAGCTGGACAGCAGGAAGAGGCCTGAGACAGTGAGCACAAGTGCAGGGGCAAAATAAACTGGGACTGTTGAACACGCACATCATTAGAAACACTCCCTTCAGCATGAAGAAAAAACCTATTTCAGACATAAGGAGGGGAAAACAAAAAAAAAAACCCTCTAAAATTAAGTTGTTATATAAGATTCGAAAATACTGCGATCGCAGTTCATCTCACCTGTCCCGAGTAAACTTAATTTACAGAGCTTTACAATGGTCAGTGTTACTCATTACCATGGGATCAGAGCTTTCCCTTGAGCTACTTATTTCGGCCATGTTTGTGTTTTACTACTCAAAATGGACAGAGACATTGGACGTCTGAGCAAAGTCAGGAGGGAAGGGAGAAAGCAGCAGAGGCAGAATGTGAAGAATACCAGATGGAGAGTGCACAGATGAGAAGTGTCCGCGTGAAAGCGGGAACGATCGATACCGAGGCAAAACAAAAGTGTTGCTAGGCTAAGAGAGGAAGTCAAGATTCAGGATTTTTATTTGCCGTATACAACAAGTGTTTTGGAATGCTTACTCGTTTCAGCTGTACCCATAACAGTAGAGAAACAATAGGCACAAATGACAAACAGACATGGACAATAAATTTAGACAATAGACGTTATACAGCCAAGACAGGACATAGCGCAAACAGTGCAGCACCTGAAAGTGCAGGTGCTAATTTGAGCTGTTTATGATGCGGACTGCTTGGGGGAAGAAACTGTTTTGGAATCTATTGGTCAGTGTTCTGATACAGCGATACCTCCTACCAGAACCCAGGGGTGAAAACAGATCGTGCCCAGGGTGAATTGTGTCCCGAAGTATAGCTTGAGCCCAGTTGTGGCAGCGGCCGAGCTATACAGTATCCGGTCGATGGAGGGTAGCTCGGTCCCAATGATTTTCTGCGCGGACCTCACAACCCTCTGTATGGCTTTTCTGTCCATAAGAAAACCTATCCAGACAGCAGGGTCAAAAGATGAAGAGAACATTTCTTTTTAGTTTTACAATTTGTTTCAAAAACAGCACGCAATGGTATGACACAACAATGCCCTGTTGCACCACACACCCCTCCTACATGACCCCGAGCAATGACTTAGACCCAGAGACAAAACGTTTCTAATGAGCTTCCTTATTTAACACACTGTCTCGGCACACAGATCTCATATTTCTGAAGGTTTGCCTGTGTCTCTGTAGGTCGCCACCCAATTCAAGAGCAGCCTGGCAGGCCTGACAGACATCCTGATGTCTAAGGAGGCCTGGTACGTTCGCTGCCTGAAGCCTAATGACGCCAAGCAGCCAGGTGAGAGAGAGACTACATAGGGGATGCCAGGCAGGGGATGGGAAGAGGAGGACCGATTTGGAAATTTGAAAGATTTTTGAGTGGGGTGGGGGCAAAGAGAACCAACTTGTGGGCAAGACGTTACTGAGCTTCATAGACAGTAAATTTGATTTTTTGAGTTGTTCACTTCGGTCTGGCTCAGTGAATCGGTGATTGAAGGTTTTTCTGAGCCGGGCTATTGGGGCAACACTGCACAATGGCGATGGTATCTCTCTCGCTCGCCGCCCCAGGTCGCTTTGATGACGTGCTGGTGCGGCACCAGGTGAAGTACCTGGGCCTGATGGAGCACCTGAGGGTCAGGAGGGCAGGATTCGCTTACCGCCGCCGATATGAGATCTTCCTGCAGAGGTGACCTCTTTGTTCCATCTCCCCTCTCTGTCTTATTGCTCTCCTTGGGTCTTGCGAATGGACTGCGATTCCACACTTCGTCACCCTCAACAAAAAGATCTTAGCGCTGCACGCTTAGCGTGATCATAATTTTATTATTTCCCATGCAGGATTAGAAAGGATTGTAGATTAATATATGCTGCAAAAGCCTCCAATTCTTGCACAAAGCTTGTTGCCTCCTCTCTAAATGTGAATACTCCAAAGATGTGATGAGCATAGGTGTTCTACACTTTTTCCTGTCTTTCTGCAATATCTGCAAGTCCGCACAGCCGAGCACAGAGGGATGCTCTTGTGTGTTCTCAGATACAAGCCCCTGTGTCCCGATACCTGGCCACACTGGAGAGGCGTGCCTGCTGAAGGGGTGGAGCGGCTGGTCAAGTTCCTTGGGTACAAGCCTGACGAGTACAAACTGGGCAGGTAAGTGGTGTCACCCAGGCAGCTAGCAAACCAAACCTCTCCCAGCAATGGCTGTACTTGCCTTGTGACTGCAGCCAAAATCATGAGTCTAATCAAGTAATGTCATTTAAGATGATATAGTTATCCTGGCTGTGAAGAAACTGTTATGTGGACACTGTTATAATTGTTGTATCGCTACTACTGGGCCTTGAAACTTCAATATATACTGTAGCTGCTGGTTGAACCTTTGTTTTTTCTGTGCTTGATCTAGAACAAACAACACCATAACACCATAATTCTTTCCAAGTGAAAACTTCCAACATAAGACATTTTATGTGCCATCTTTCATTGACTTCACTTCAGAAACTAATTTGTTTCTTAAAAATGTGCCTTGCCGCTTTTGTTTTATAATTTTCAAATTTTTATTGAATTGGTATTGGGCATCCCATTGGAATTACAGTACATCTTTGGTGTTAAAAAGTCATTTAACTTTGTCTTGAAAACCAAATACAGTTGCAATGAGTGCCAGTAAATTGTTATCCAAACCCAGTGATCTCCAGATGTTCTCTGGCTTTCTTCTAGGACAAAGATATTCATCCGTCATCCCAGAACGCTTTTTGCCACTGAAGATGCCTTTCAGATCTGCAAGAATGAGCTTGGTGCGTGGTTTCTCGTTGCCTTCCCAGCTCCGCTTGTCTGAAAAGGAACTGTTGTATGAACTCCTGTTTACTTGAGCCACCTTGTCCCTTTCTGAATATTGCAGCAACGAAGATCCAAGCTAGGTATAAAGGTTACCGTGTGAAAGGGGAGTATCAGAGACAGAAAGAAGCGGGTGAGTTAATGACTGCCAAGACACTGGCAGATTTATACCCATAGTGCACCTGCTCTTGTATTCATTCGCTCTTTCTATCTCTTTCTATAACGGGACAAGATAAAAAACACAACACAATTATATACTTTAGCTTTCTTATTCCTGCGGAAGCAAAAATAACATTTTACTGACAAGCATCTTGTTCATGTGTTCTAAAAAATTAAATGCTAGCACAGGACACTCACCCCAGTCGTTAGAACTTGAAAAGTGAACCGGGGTATTAGTCACATGGACGCTGGGCTGACGTGACAGCTTGGGAGGATGTTGGTCTCCTCTGTCTCCTCAGCCACAAAGATAGAGACCTGCTGGAGAGGAGTCCTGGCCAGAAAGGAACGCAAGAGGAGAGCCTGGGCTGCCAAGACCATAAGGAAGTAAGAGGAAGTGCTCACCTGTGGTTTTCTCTCCCAATACTGCAGTGACATAAACCGCAGATGTATACTGAATATTTTTGTGCTCGGTCTGAGGTCTGTCTCACAGATTCCTGATGTATACAGATGCCCTCTTCGAAAAAAGGCACCTCTAAATATTATCCACAGGTTCAGGCGTCACAGAACACTTCCTTGCCAGCTGAGCATAAATCAGCACTGTGTAAAGCCGTGCTATTCTCTAAAGGACGTTAGATAGCTACCAAATACTGCTGTGTTTGTGTCCACTCTTGTGGTTTCCTTGGTACTGTTCCACACAGGATGTAAATATGGGAGGGCTCAGCATTGATGCTGTTTCTATAGATTAAGGTATTAGAATGAAGGGCCAAGGGTTTCGTTTGCATGAGCACTGCAGCACATTTTGGATTCCTGTTTGGCCTTGTGCCCAGGCCTCCCCTCTGCCACAGATACAGCAGTGCTCGGCAGTACAACACAGCTGCTGGACGTCTAACATCACAAAACACGGTGGACTTGCGGTCTGTGTCAGTCTGGTCTCGCCCCCCTTTCGAAACGCAAACAGTGAGAGGATTCTGTTTTCTCCTGCTAGGTTTATAAAGGGCTTCATCAACAGAAACCAGCCCCTTTGCGAAGAGAACGCTGACTATATAGCCTTTGTCAGGCACAATTATCTGGTGAAGCTGAAAGACCATCTCCCCAAAAACCTCCTGGATAAAACCACCTGGCTCAAACCTCCTTTAATGCTGGAGACGGTAGGAACTCTTCACACCAGGCTCTCCAGACACTGCCATGCTGCAGCTCTTTAATAATAATAATAATAATAATAATAATAATTGTTGTTGTTGTTGTTGTTGTTATAGTTTTGAAGGACAGGACATTTATTCTCGCATTTTGTTTTTGTCTCCTTTTTTTCACTCTTTTCTTATCTGTTTATGTGTGTACTGTATATGTACAGTATTTGCACATGTACAGTTTAACAGCTCATTATTGCATTGGCATAGAAATTCTCCCCTAATGTATATTCTTCCCATGTTCACAGTTGGTTGGCCAAAGTGGTATTTGAATTTCCCAAAAGCTTCACTATTAAAAAAACAATAGCAGGCTGAAATGGCAATTGGCTGTACGCTGTGAAAAGGCGAGTCTGGTGCTCTGTGAGGCCTCGCTGCATGCATCTCCTGATAAGCTCGCTCTCCTTGCAGACTTCTCAGATTCTGCGCAGGCTCTGCACACGGACCATGGTGAGGAAGTACGTCAAGGGGGTCACAGCCCAACGCAAGGCCCAGGTTCGTGCTGATGTGCCTCTTTCTCCAGCTTTTCAGGAGCACATTTAAGATTTTAGTGCCCATAGCATGTTTGAGAAAAATGCCAGATGTCATGTACTGGGCCACAAATGTTTGTTGTTGGTTTTTGGGTTATGGACATAAAACAATATAATCCAGATTGTTTTTCAGCACCTACTGTTTTGCACAGGGCTGTTTTCTGTATTGCCTTGATTGATGCTAGGCATGTTGAACACTCCGAAAGCTGAAATAGGTACTGTTAATGGAACATTTTAAATCCATGGCTATAATCTCTATACAGACAGAATGAAGCCCTATTGTGGTCACCACAGACCCACAACAAGACTACAGTTCCACAGACGTCTGGTGTAAACTGATCAGTTATTCAAGCATTAGCAGTTGCTAGAAATGACTTAATTGTAGCCAGTTGTCTCGAAATCAACAATGATGGTGAAATACAGACAGATCAGTTTTAATGTGTTTCACACTGAAAGCTGGGACATTATCTCTCTTCTCCACAGTTGCAGCTGAAAGTGGTGACCAGTGCCTTATTTAAAGGGAAGAAAGATGGTTACCCCCAGAGTGTTGCCAAACCCTTTGCAGACACCAGGCTCAGTAAGTCATTTCCTTCAGAAGCCGTGTTGTGTGTAATCTGCAAAAAATTGTTGTTCCTTTTGTTGCATACCTGTTTCATTTAGGAAAGATTTGTTTGTGTACCAGTGTGAAGTTGTGTAGTCCACTTCTAAATCAATGACACTATTCTCAGCTTGCAAAGAGAACACAGAAACATAGATTTGACTCTGCTTTCTTACCTGTTAGACATGATCTCACAGAGCATTTATTTTTCTTTTCATTCTGGCTTCAGATGAACAGGACATAAACATGAAGGTCCAGCAGATTATTCGCAATGAGCGAGTGAAGGTAACATGACCAGTCAACTGCTTATAGCCCTGAAGTGGAACTCTGTCCTTCATCGAGGGCTTTCTTAACAAAAAGCGCTAAACCAGATTCCTCAGTATATTGTTTTTGACCATTTTATAGCACAACAATACATTAGCAACACTGTTATGTTCATGATATTGCAGTTTTAAGAGGCATGTTTGGAAAGGCCTAAATGTCACTGACCATCCCTTAATGAAGGCAGGAGCTAGAGACAGCTCGGACTGCAGGAATGTTTTATGACGCTTGTTGATAGTGAAACGATAAGTCCTACTTGTTTATAAGAAAGCAAAATGTGGTTAACAGGACTACACCCAGCTTACGTTTCTCTGCAGTACGGCGTTCCGGTGGTGAAGTATGACAGGAATGGGTTTAAGCCTCGGCAACGTCAGCTCATATTAACTCAGGCTGCAGCCTATGTGGTAGAGGATGCCAAGGTGAAACAGAGGGTGGACTACACCACTCTCAAAGGTAACCACCATCACCATCACACGCACTCCTTTTATAACACCTGGCCATGGAGTATTTTTTTAGAACCTGGTTTCTTCCTTAATACAAGGTAGATATCAATGTGCAAAGCAGTAGTGTTTATCATTCATTGATCATTCAATCATCCCCCACTCTCAGAATATATATGCCATCATATGGACATATGCCAGATAGGTACTTTTGCCATTTCTAACTTCTACATGTCTGGTAGTTTTCTGCACGGCACATTGCATCAGGAATAGTTCAAAAGCTCGAGCTGAGTTATTCATTGAGGTGAAACGCTGCTTCTTCTGAGTGTGGAGACTGTGTGAGCCCTCTATTTCCACAGGCCTGTCTGTGAGCAACTTGAGTGACGGCTTTCTCATCCTGCATGTTCCCCTTGAGGACAACAAACAGAAGGTAAGAGCCGTGGTCAGGCCCCAATGAGGACTATACAATACCTGCTGAGTAAGCCAGTCAACTGCTCACACTAAGGCCATGCACAGCATTTACTGTAATGTGAATGTTAGGTATAAAGGGATTTGAAATTTGTCTCCTTAACCCTGCTAAAAGGTTTTGTTCAAACAAAAAGGTAAACTGTCTGGTATTTTGAAATAAAAGATGTTACATGATATGATACCAACACCTTGTACAAAGATGTTAAGCCTATTCCTTTAGATATGGCAAATTCTTCAGTATCAGAATACCAATTCCAGATGGATGGGTCTTATCTTAACTACCTCTTTCCTAGTACCAGTCATTAACAAGAGTTTGCTCTAAGGCCACACTGTAAGAGTGTATATATGATTTTGATACTGTCTTCTGTCTATTTCTCTGAACTTTTCTGTATAGGAGATTATCCTATGATTTTTTAAGAAAACATTTACCAGTGTGCCCATTCACCTTGAGCAACAAACTTCTATGTCCTGTGTTGCCTTCCTTTCTTAACCAGGGGGACCTGATCTTGCAGTGCGACCACCTGTTTGAAGTCGTGACAAAGCTGTGTGCGTTAGCCAACAAACAGAACTCTGTCAAGGTTGTGCAGGGCAGGTAAGCGTACTCCATTGTTCTCACCCGAGAGTCATGTCCTTCTATATGTAAGCGCTGATTGCATGCTGCTTCACTAGTTAAATGTTTCTTGGGAAGGGAGAGGATATAAACTATGCTACCGCTACCATTAAAATTATATGGCAGATTGCCCTGATGTTGGGCAATATGTTTCTCTTCATACATACATGTCCATTACTGTCAACTTCCAGTATCAAATTTGCAATCCAGCCTGGAAAAGAAGGAACTGTGGACTTCAGCACTGGACAGGAGTCAATGGTTTACAGGGCCAAGAATGGACACCTCATGGTGGTATGTAGACATTTGACTTTTAAAACCAAACAAAACCATGGGATTGGCTTTTAAATTTTAAACTAATCTAGATTTGAATGTATTTGAATTTTAAATCAGTTTAAATTTCCTGCTAGACTTTAGTTTTGGTATTGCTTGACCTAATGCCATGATCTTTCAGAAGACAAAATTGCAATAAGAGACAAATCTGCTCCAATATTTGTCTTTATTGTCCCAGGTATCTACAAGACTGAAATCACGATGACTTTTCAATGAACCTGGATGCTGTTCAATGACCTTTACAGACCAGTCTGTATCAATGCTGTGCGCCCTATAATATTTTATTTCAGCACACAACCCTTTAGGGTTCAATTTTATCATCAAGAATATAATAAGGATATTGTAGCACATGATTTACTTTGTAATAATAATGCCTACAGTCTCCAGAAACAGCTTCCTCTATAACTCCATTACTCTCCAAGGCCTTTGCCTGTGATTGATAAAACAAGGTTGTTCAGCTTTTAGCAGACAAACTGCTAAATGGAATCAATTGTGTTGAACATTAGGTCCTAGTTTGTGGCATGGGGGTGCGTATTGGGTAGATGGTACACCACTCAATAGTCCTATTTCAAATGATAATTTTTACAACCATATCAATGTATTGAATGTAATCCGCAAACCCCAGAGATATACTTGTTGACAATTTTTAATCACTTTCAGTACTCATCTGTCTCTGCACTCTTTTAATTTGACTTGCACAGCAGTCACTGTAGGTCAGGTGCATTTCCTGATGCTAAAGCAGATCACTGGGCTCTCAGGCACCAGAAACTGTCAAGTTAAAGGCAAAACAAATCAAGGGCTATGCTGTTAGGCTATGCACCTGATATAAGGCTGCAATGCTGACCTTACACTTAATACACAGTACAAACCTCAGAAACTCATGTACTTAATCAAACTGTAGTGGATCTGAAGGACAGTTTGTGCACAAAAGGAATGACATCTCTGGGAATTGTGGCTGTATACTGATGGACTGTAGAAAGTAAAATTAATTTCAGCAGGTGTCGAAGTGCTTAATGTCTTTTTATGTATGCAAGTATATAGATAAATAATGGATCTCATTACATTCCACCTTAAAAAGACATTGGTTTATTTTGTGATATTGAAGCCATATGTACCATAACATTTTTATATGTACACACAAATTCCTGTTTAAAATAAAGCTAAATCACAAAGTGCTCCAGAATCGTTTATTGTGATTATGTATAAATATAGCTTAAGCCTTTCTCTGTGCACACTTTTACAAAGAGAAAGTATGTATAATGATTGTAAAATATACCTATTTGTATCTTACAAAATACAAACATACATTCCTTATCTGTTATGCTGGGATGATGCACAGTGATGATTCAAACACTCACAAGTGCCAGAAAAAAATGTAATCGTGTTGCCACTTTGTATTTCTACAATGATTATTCCATTCCATTAACCAACTCAGCTGATCAACTGTAGATATATACATCACAATAAGGATCTATTCTCCAGCATTATACCTTATCTGGAACTCTTCAAATTTGCATCACACATCGCCCTCTGCTGGCTGTCATCTGCATTGCTAACATTTTATATTTCATACTGCCTCTCTGCTCGGTAATCTGCAAAGCTAATATTTTGTGTCTCAAACTGCCCTCTGCTTGCTATGATCTGGACACGCTGTTAAGGTACTGTCCATTCAATTTCCAGTACACAGCTGCACCATTCATCACATTCCACACAAAACAGATTAATGTGCCATACAGTACAGCATCTTATTGTAAAACCACGCAATACTCCAGTTTCTCTCTGTAATCATTAACTGCTCTGCTTTCCAAACATTCAAACTGTATTATCATGACATTTACCAATAACCTTTCAGAAACACAAATGCCCTCCGCTTGCTTCAATATGTTTTTGTTCAGATGCTTTACTCAGCATACACAAGTTAAAACCTTTTAATTTTCATATTAGAGAATAAAAATTCTCAAAGATGTTAGTTACTCCTGTGACTCAGGCCTCAGCACTCTAGAAAGTTAATTGTGACACGGCCTGCAAAACAGCCAATGCACACAGTAATACACAGAAGGAACAGACAGTACATGGAGTGGAGTTCTCCGATTACAGACATTTTTCAAAACTATCAAATACAATTCCAGACTGGTAAAAGGGGTTAGCTACTAATAATCCCTTTATGGCAACATACATTGAACAGAAAAAAAAATGTATATACAGCAGCAAAACTTTCGTTTGTTCTCTAAAAGTTGTTTTTACTTAACCGCTGCTTGGTCAGGATTTGGAATGAACAGTGTTTTGCCCTGTAGACAAAAAGGCCCCTCTATTTTAACGTTAATACAATGCTGGGGCATGAAGCCTAATTTTAATTTATAGGTAAACGTAAAGGCTCCTACTCCCTTTGAGAAGCATCTAGTGTGCCTCTATCAAATAACGCACAAGGATCCAAGCTCCCACAGCCTGGAAAACTGCACAATCTTCCTGTCCCTTGAGCTTACACAATCCGAGATCTTTTCAGAGACAAAGGTAACTTTTATAAAACAAGTGTAGGGTTGCGTAAATCTAGCGGGGGGAGACATTTGAGTTCAGCTTGTGTTCTGATTGTGCCTTTTTGTTTTGTTTCTAAAAGTCACTGAGGTTTTGGTCTAGGGCAGTCGTGTTCTGAACGGCCACAGAAATCAGGCCTGCTCTCCAGCTTGCCTTATGTGCCCCACTACCACATGCAGCAGCAAGTCTTCCTACTTCACCAGGCACACTTTGTCTCCCCCGAAATGTTTTTCTTAACCTCACCGTTGCATAACACTTAACCGTTTAAACCCCTGTTGCTCTCATGTGTGCCTTTCAGTCTGCGTGAGCAGAGGAAAGCCACTTCTGAATCTGCAGCATTTACAGCTTCGGCCCCGGAAGGCAAGTTCAAATCCACTCACAGCCGAAGGCCGTGACAGAATAGCTGAACTGCAAAAAAAAGGAAGGAATGCAAGCCAGACACGTTTTTTGCCATTTCTAGGGGAACAAAGGAAAACAAAACGGATTCTTTTGCCGGTTTTAAACAAAGGGGCAATGCATGAGGACAGGTCAAATATTTTTTTTTTTAAAAGAAGCCACTCCGGCTAAAGGGCAGCAGTTACAGCGAGCTGCCTGTAGAGGGAGCCGGCGGGGCAGGGGGCTCGCGAGGAGCTGCGCCGGTGGTGGTCCGGCGGGCGGGGACGGGCCGCGCTCTCACTGGTGGTGGTGGGTACGGTCGTCCGGCCTCTTGACGTGGATCCTCCGCACGCGCTCGATGCGCTCCCGCTCCTCGTCCTCGTCCAGGTGGTGCGAGCGGCCGGCCGCGCCCCCCGTGGCCTCCAGCAGCGCGTTGTCTGGCCCCCGGCCGTCCTGGGACTCGTACAGCAGGATGTTCAGAGTCTCCTCGTAGATCCGGGCCTCGGGGAACTCCACCTGGGAGGAGGGGGTGACAGAGAATAACCAGCTGGGCAAGACAAGCTCGGTGTCTAATATCGAACCTGAACTGGTACCTGCTTCCGCTGCTGATACGCGTACAATCAAGCACGAGTGAGTTAAAAGTTAACTGACTCTTGCAGTATTACTCCAGACTGCAGCCCCTTTCAGCACCACTGTTGAAGCATTTATTGCTTTGCCAAAAGAAGCTTCTTTCAAGACTCATGTCAAAAGCTCACAGAGACCCTCTACACATGGGCTAGGCTGACTGCGTTTCACCTGGGGTCTCAACAGAGCTGGTAACCATCAGGCTGAAAACAGAAATGCACCTTGAAAATCACCACGTACAAACGTAAAAGGAAAGTTTTGCTCTCTCGTTTCACACTTCCCTGAAAAATCACATTCAATCGCCCTGACACACCAACCCACCACAGCCCCACTTTGCCTTCCCATATTGTCCAGGTGTGGGTGGCACACAGGTGGTGGTGGAGGGGATCCCCATTACCTGTAAAGCGCTCTGAGTGCAGTGTCCAGAAAAGCACTATATAAGTGTGAGGAATTATTATTATTATTATTATTATTGACTTCTGATCTCTCAGGTCTAGTCTCCATGACACACAGTGTCCACCATTTTCTCATAGGCTGTCCACTGTCGGCTGAAGATCAAGTGACGATGCCTCCTGCTATCCCACATCTCCACCCCCTGCTGCACGCTGTCCGCCACAGCTGCCCCCCGGCCGTACCTTGGTCTGCTTCTTCTCGGTGGCGTAGACGATGGAGGTGCAGCACACCTCCGCGATCTTGCGGCCCTGCCCGTAGAAGGACCAGCAGCAGATCTCGTCCCCGATGACGTCCTTGATGAACAGCACCCTCCCGTTGAAGCGCAGCGACAGCTTGTCGAACAGTTCGATGTTCTTCAGCATGTTGTCGTCGGAGTTACTGCGGGCGACAGACGGCGAAGGTTAAAGGCACTGACGCGAGGCAGGCTGGGGCGCTCGTCTGGGCCCAGTCAGGGGAGTCGGCCGCCACCATCACCAGCCAAGACAGCTTTCTTACCTGGTATATGAATATTTGTTGTTGCTTCTATTGTATAACAGCTTGACAGTAGGCTGCAGATGGAAGAGAATACAAAAGACAGCATTAATTAAGACAGCATTAATTAATTAAGAATTAAGACTTCTAGTATTCTCACAACAGTTTTTTTTATGCTCAAATACACACCACATCACTAGGCAAGGCAAATTGATTTCTATAGCACATTCTCGTACACAAGGGTAATTCCAAGTGCTTTACACGCATAGAAACCATAAAAAAACAGAAATAAAATAAAAAATAATTAAAAGAATATCATAAAAGAAATAATTAAAACCACAATAAAACTAAGCAAAAGCAGAGGATAATAAAACCATTTTTAACTTCGATTTAAAAATGTCTAAGGTTGGGGCACATCTAAGATCCTTCGGGAGCTGTGCCATTTCACCACGTTCAGTTTCAACTCTAGGCACCACTTGCTGACCAGTCCCTAAAGACAGATAGATACTTTACTGATCTCGTGAGGAAAATTGCAGAAAGATCTTAAGAGACCTACCAGGTCAAACATATTGGAAATATATTTTGAGCCTAACCATTGAGTGATTTATACACAAGAAGCAATACATTGAAATTAATTCTATAACTAACTGGAAGCCAGTGTAAGGATCTTAGAATTGGAGTAATATGCTCAGTTTTCTTGGTCATTGTTAAAATTCTATCAGCAGCATTTTGAATGAGTTAAAACTGTCTAATGGTCACTAGACTAAGATATAATACTACAAGAGATGGACGCAGAGTTATCAAACCAGAAACTGCTTCATCACAGTATAACTTTTCTGATGATCAGTCCAACAGTACCCTGGGTTTTAATGTGATCCTTACCTTGTCAGAGGTGGCGATGAGTCTCTGTTCCTCCTTAGACGAGGTTACGAGCGGTACCTTGCAAAATGGTTCATACGTGTCTTTGTTCTTAAAAGACAAACAGAAAGGCATTTGTGTCGATTAAAAACCAACGCCGAGGGTCAGACTTTGCACAGATCAACGTGAAAGGTGTGTCGTGGACATGCTGGGCGGCAGTGCCCTTTGCGTCAGACGTGCGGGCGGTAGGATTTGCACCTGGAGAGCGGCCTGGCACTCATCGGCCAGCCCCTGCACCAGGTAGTACTTGGCTTCAGCCAGCAGCTCCTCCGTCTCCCTGCGGCTCTCGGGCAGGGGCACGGCTCCGTCCCGCAGGTAGTTCAGAATCGTCCCGAAGTGCTTGCCACAGCGGTCGATCAAGATCCAGCCTGTGGGAGGAGACAGATGGCTGAGGCAGTCGAGACACAGAGGAACCAAGCAGGCACAAAACCAGATGCACTATATGGGCCTCCTGGCCTCCTGGTAAATGTATTTTTAGGTCTATAATCAAGTTATAATAATACAGAAAACGGTTAATTTTCTGAACCTTAATTATCCACTCAATAAATCCAATTTAATAGCAGCCTTGCAGTGACATACACTCACATGAACTCCCATCTGACTACATACATACGTTACAAGACATCCTAGCATCCTTGGCATCGTAGGCAGGCTTTGCTTACATTTCACTCAATTACACTTATTTTATTTCTCTAACAATTAATTTTTTAAAAAAATTTCCTCTCACACAGTTTTTTTTGAGTATACTAAAAAGGCCAAATTCCTTTTCCACCTTCAGCTACAGTACGTCATTTATCGGCTTTTACGGTGGATTATGAAAAAAACAGGGGTATTTATAACCCCTCCTTCAGATGAGACGTAAAGCCGAGATCCTGACTTTCTGTGGTCCAGGGTGTTTCTCAAAAAGAGTAGGGATGTTACCCCAGTGTCCTGGCCAAATTTCCCCCTGGCCTTTATCAATCATGGCCTCCTAATAATCCCCATCTTTGAACTGGCTTCATCACTCTGCTCTCCTCCCTACTGAGAGCTGGTGTGGGGGGAGTGTACTTTGGTGCTGTGGCATCATCCAGGTGGGGCTGCACACTGGTGGTGGTAGTGTGATTCCCCATCACCTGTAAAGCACTTTGAGTGGAGTCTCTAGAAAAGCGCTTTTTAAGCGTAAGGAATTATTATTTATTATTATTAATTAAAGGGACATTAACCTCTAAAATATCTCAGAGCTAAGAGAACACATTACACTTTAACTGCAGTTAAATAACCAGACCCAGTGTGAAACCGAGAAGTCGGGTTTTAACAAAAACACAAGGCGCTCCAGGAACCGAGTCTGATCTTGAGTATGACACTGCTACACTACAGCTTCAAAAAGATTCCTCTAGCAACAAGGCGTTTTGAGCGGTACAGGCTCTGAGTGTTCTTGTGTGCTGATTGCAACTTCAAGCTCGAGTGCCAGCGGTGTGTTCCTGCTGGCGCGAGTGAGACCCGCAGGGATGCCAAGCCGGAGCCGACTGCGTACCCTCGCTGTCCGTCAGCACCTCCATCCTGCCGCTGAACATGGCCTTCAGCATGGTGTCCTGCTTGGTCAGGGTCTGCATGGTGGTGTAGTACAGCGCCCCTCCCACGTTCAGCTTCACGTACTTGGAGCTGGGGCTGGAGCCCTTGAAGGACGTGGTCCTAGTTGTAGCCGCCGGCACTGCCGAGCTCACCACGCTGTCACCCGACATCTCTTCCTACACGCAGACGCACAAGAAGAGAACACCGGCACGGTACTGAGGACAGGAAGTGACGCAGGCAGGTTATCACGGAGAGGCAGCCTTAACGCCTTTCTACAGGTGTACCTGCCAACAAGCTTGCGTACTCGGCGCAAACTGCACGTTACAGATTACACTAATCACACAACCTCCTCCCCCATGAAAGCCTGGGATTGGAGTACGCAGCTGGCGAGTGGATTCACGATTTGATCGATTTCCAGGCTGGAACAGTAGCCGGGAGTTCAACGTTTTCTATGCATATAAAAATCAACCATCCACATGCAAAGGACTATCTTTTAGGATTAAGGATTAAAAAAACAAACACCCAACGTTCATTAAATGTTACAGGGGTGGGTTAGGGAGGGGGAGTAATAGCCCAGCCCCGTATCAATCAGCGCCAGATAATTAACTATATAAATCGGACCATTCCGCTATAATCGAAACCACGTTTAAACCACGGAATGGTTCTTTCCGCCGTTTCTTCATTGTTCTCGTCATTCTGGATTTTGTTAATTCAACTGCGTTTTTGTGACTGTGGCTTTTTCTAAATTCATTTCCTTAAGGTCTCCCAAAGTCTGTTGGGAGCAATCTTAAGAGAGGTGATGCATTTTCAAGTAACAAACACGTTTAAGGCAGATCCTAAAGAACCCTGTATAAATAATTCCCGTATAGTCCCTGATGTCTTTGTCACAGAGATGAAATGGTGATGAACGGAAAAACTACGAAGTTTAAATATCCCCTTTCTCATCGCTACTTGAAAAAAAACAAAAATACGTTGCGAAAAAAACGTTTCTTAGCTAACTCCGCGTTTTGCTCTTTACAAACACAATGGCAGCTTAATAAACAACACGAGAAACTACAAGATTATTTCTAGTTTCGAAGTTAAAACTTCTTTGTTTCTTACCATAGAACCCAGAAACACTCCCAAATCAGACGAGAAGGAATCACCCACTTCCGGCCCACAGGCGGGGGTTCTGTGAGGTATTTCCGTTTGGCTCCACGCTCCGTGGGAGGGGGAATGACGTAACCATGCAATTATCGGAGGATTGTCAGGGCGTCCTAAGGGGCGAGTTCTATTCATAATGTACAGTATACACGTAACTTTATTATCCTTTCAAAAGGGTAGAAAGTTGTCTTTGGCATCACCGTACAAAAGTAAGTAAAACAAATAACAAGCAACGTTAAATACCCGTCAAAAACAAACAATAGTCCCAACCAATCAACAGTGCATATACAATAGACTCATCTCGCTCTGTGCATATTGCCCTATCATTACATTAATCTGATAGCTTCAGGCAGGAAACAGTCACTAAGCTGTGGTTAGTACACCGACTGTACAAGGAGCAAAATATTTCTTGTTTACATTTTTCTTGGACGTATGTTTTTAAAACGCCTCCCAAAGAGCACCTCGTTTTCAAGTCACAGTATCCACCAATTAAAACATAAAAGCGAACAGGTCCTTCCACGGTAATCTAAAACACATTTGAGACGAATCTCTTCTATGTGCACTGAACAGAATTCTTAGCTATATAGCTTCATGTTCACTGTTGGTATTAAGTTAAGGCGAGTTTAAAGCATTTGTACACATTTGTTTTAACGCTTTTATTTGGGCACTCTATGACAACACCGTTATATTGATTCTAATGAAGGTGTTATCTGCACACACAAAAAACAGAATATGGTATACGGTAAGGTAATTGCACATTATGATACATCCCATTAAGGATTTTTTTAACGTTGCGACAATACTGTGTAATTAACCAAAGCAATACATGTAACTTTTTTTCCAACCCCAGATCTCGCTGCCAGCACTGAAACAGCAATCGTTTGCGAAACTTAAAAGTCGAAAACACAATCATTATTTTAATTCAACTGAATATTTACATCGTGGGAGCCTTTGCCTATATTGATTGGATGCTATATGGAATCATGGTTAAGATGTTAAAAAAAAGTTTAGATATCAACGTCCATAATTTCGCTGCTTGTTTTGCCCCTCAGAGAGTGCTTAAAAATCACCTCCGCCCCGCAGAGGGAGTAACCGTGAAAGAAATCCCACACATGCAAAAATAGTTCCATTGCTGCATGAAAATTCGTTATTTTAAAAGGAGTAATGCAAAAAAAATCAGTATAGCGTGAAATTTGTGACTGTAATTATACTGATTTTAGATCCTCTGCATTTTCTGATCTTTATCTTTAATGTTTTGTGATGTATTAAACAGCGTTGTTGTGCCTCCGGAAGTTTTTTTGTGGTAACACCGAAAGGATTAATGGCTGCTTTCAGTGTATGGGTTTTGTTTTTATTGTTTACATCTTTTTACCCCAGCTGAAGGGGTTATGGCATTTGATATTTTGTTGATTGAGTGCGTTCACGCATCGTCTAACTAATGCACGTTTATGATTGTCGTTGTTTGTAGAGCGAAGAATTGCGACATAGTATGTCTGAAAACAACATTAATTGAACATTTAGTAATAGGTACGATTGTAGACACCATTAAGCTTTATTATATCAATATATAAAATATATTGCACAGGAAAAAGGCAACGGACGGGTTTTCTATGTTGGTACATCGGTTCAGTTCTAGTTGCTGTTACTTGGCAACTTTGAATTCATGTTACACAGTAGTAGTGTATTATTTTCTTAGAAGTGTAAATACACGGGTTTTATCAGCATTTTGACAGTTCAGGCAACCCGCTGTCAGGACCAAGGGCTAAAAGGTTTTTGAACTTGTGTGGGTTCAAAATGCGAGTAATAATTATTTTGGAAGGAACACGACCGAAGACATTATACGCACCCTGAGGTGCGATGTTGTATTTTGTGTGGTGCTGAATCGCAAAGGAATTGAAAGTATATACTTATTTTTACCTTCCAGAGATGACACCCTGATCAGCTTTTGCTGGGCTAATTTGGGTTCTACTGCAGTTTCCGGAAGGACTCTTGCTATTTTGGGCCTTGGAGGGAAAATTTAGCACATTTATGTGCTGTTGTGTCTGTAATGAACTGGGAATCTCCTGTGACGAGCAAACGCCTTAGGTCAGTGCCCTTCCTATTGAAATGTTTCCTTGCAGTGTATGGATGTGAAAGTGGCTTTCTGCTTGCTGTCTACGTATTTTAGCAGTACTACACGCCATTAACTATGTGATGGCTTTAAAACAGTCTTGTTAATGTTTGATAAATGTTCCATGTAAAACGCGTCATGATTCGTATAAGCAACAATGATATTTTTCTGTATGATGGCTTGCAGTTTATTCTAGTCTTTTTTGGGGATGTTGTAGAGATAGAAGGAATATTAGTAAAGTTACACAACTCTTTTTGCAAGTCAGTGCTCTTAGCCTAATTTCAGTCTACTTAAGTTAGCACTTTTGTGATAACACAACTCCTCTCACTACTAAAACTGGGCGGTGTGCTGAACGATTCCACTTTTTACTTCCACATAAGTGATTGGTGGTTCAGCATCCCTGCTAGCTCGTGCATTGCTGTGTGTCAGCCTCCTCTGTCAAGATGGTTTATTCAGAGTGACCTGCTGAGACAACACCCTGATCAGCTTTTGCTGGAACATATTTGGGTTCTACTGCAGTTTCCAGAAGGATTCGTGTTATTTGTGCCTGACTGCAAGTCAGTACAATGGTGTCCCGAGTCCTTAAACTAAGTACACTTTGCTGTCTTGAGAAAGTAGTAAACCACAACAGAGGTTTGTACTGCATCAGCATAGACAGTGTAATTGCAGTCAAAAAGATGAAATGACTCTTAAGAACAGTTTGCTTTTCAGAAACATGATGTTATCGTCAATGCAGTTTTTTTTTTCCTTCATTAAGAATAATTCATAAAAAAAGGAAAGGGCCGAAATGAAATGGGCAGGTATTTGTTGTACCTGCTGTGAGTCTGTCAGTGCCGTTTTCCCGTCTTTCCCCAGGGGTGAAAGATGTTTGGCACAGTTCAGTCGTCCAAGTCCCAGTTCCTGGACAAAGCCCGGCAGGCCCGTGAGGAGAGGAAGGGCCAGAAGGAGCGGGAGAAGGCGGCCACGCAAATCCAGGCCCTTGTCAGGAGGTTCCTCTGCCGCTGCAAACTGCAGAAGCAGATACGGTCAGTCCAGCAAGCTTTCTCTGTGTTGGGCACTGCTAGACTGGGGTCCCCTTGTCATGTCCGTCAGAACACTGCAGCAAGTGTACATCACCCTGCTTCTTAAATGACTTAACTGCCCCCCAAAATATCAGCATGTGCAGTATGAGCTGTACGGTAACCAGACTGTTGCTCACTCTCTTGATTCCCTAGGAAAGAAGTAGATGAATTCTTCGAAGCCTGTGATACTGGATCTTGGAAAAGAAATGCACTTTCCATTTTTAAAATTGCAAGAAAGTTATTATTTATATTCAACTTAAAAGAAGACAAAGTGGTGAGTGTTATCTCTTTTAGACTTTGTTTTTCTCATCTTGCGGAGAAACGCAGAGAATCTAGTAGTGAATTTGTCAGGTTATTGTCGTTTTTTAACGGTGTGTGAGGATTTGGGATTTTTGTGTAGTCTCATGATGTCAGTTTTCCTTGTGTTTAATGTTTCATTTAACGTCTGGATTGTATGAAGTGGTGGAAATGTGGTATGTATTCACAGTGTTTTGCAGTCAGTTGAAATGTTTGTCCTATAAGTCATCATGTTTTGATTGTTTGGCTTCGTTTTATTTTTATCTAGAGATTTGAGAAATTGTGTCGCTGTATACTTGGGAGTATGGAAGTTGAAAACGAACCCAAGGTAAACATTTCTAATTTTTCCTGATAATAGTTTCCCTGGACCTGTTTTTTTTTTCTTTTTACTCAACTAAAAAAACACATTTTGCAATGTTAATTTCATTTTTAAACATTCTCTGTTTTTAATGTACACATTCTGTATTCCAGATCTCTTATTCTGGATTATTTCATGTTCCTGACTGATGTTGACATTTTAAATTCAGTGTTCTGTATGTCCATAGGTTTGGTATGTGTCCTTAGCTCTTTCAAAAGACCTCACCATCCAATGGATCAAGCAGATAAAAGATATCCTGTGGGTGTCCTGTGAGTTCCTGAAGAAGCTAAAGGTCAGTAGGTTTTCCTCAATTAAAATCCTGTAAATCATAATCCCTTCTGCTGTCAGAACTATTTTTTTTTGCATAAGATTACAAACATTTGAGAAATTTAATTATAGCATCAACAAAATAACTAGCACTGGTGAGAAATATCCAATTTGGTGTTGTCATATTCATGTTTGAAACTTGTCTTAGACATATGAATCATAACAAATTCACTAACATTCTTTGAAAACATTTGTAAATACTTATACTGTGCTATTTGCTTGACATGGAAGAAGTGAATTAGCCTACACCGTCTGTGCTTTGGTAATAAATAAAGGTGTTGGTTAGCATTTTATGAGGGTATTTGGTTGATTTGTTTGATCTTTCTTTCAGCCTGATATCCTTCAAGACAACAAAATGGTGACTCTGTACCTCACTATGCTAGTGACTTTCACAGACACATCCAACTGGAAGATTGTGAGAGGGAAGGGTGAGTGTTGGGCATTTCAGGATCTGGGATGTTTCCCGTAATGTCTGCAGTTGTTTTCAGAATAAAATCCTACATTTACAGTCCTGTAACTGTAGGATTTTTGTCCTATAAAGATGTTGTAGACTTCTTGTGTCAGCAGATCGGTTTGCAGACGTTTTCTCTCAGACATATTCTCTGTGTATTTCTGATATTTTAAAGTTTGCTAGAACTTTCCCGTTCATAGTTTTGTCAGATGATCTTTTTAATGCATGCATAAGGGGGTAACACACACTGTCCCTGGCTTTAAGTGATGTACCTCTTCTTGCAGGGGAAGCTCTTCGGCCTGCTCTAAACCGTATTTGTGAGAACATCATGGGGCATCTCAATCAGAAGGGCTTTTATACTGTCTTGCAGGTAGCTTAAAGTTCTTAAATGTAATGCATTCAAATATGAAAAATAAAACCGGATATAGTGTAATTGTAATGTAGACTGACAATCTTGTTTCTTTTCATATTTCTTCTAGATTTTATTAACAAACGGATTAGCAAGGGCCAGACCCTCTCTTTCTAAAGGATCCCTAACAGCCGTATTTACACTGGCATTAAGGTATTTGTGTCAGTTGTCATTTGAATTTTATACTTTTATTCATTATTGTCATTAAAGGATGTGTGCTGATGTGGTTGCTTTTGACACGTCATCTGTAATGTGTTTCTCCTTTTGTTTGCAGGCCTGTTGTTGCTGCACATTTCTCTGATAACCTCTTGAGGTCTTTCCTGATTCACATCATGTCTGTACCAGCTATCATCTTTCATCTTAACAGTCTAACCCCGGAGGTAAACACTCAAGTATTTGTTTTATTTTTTGGGATTGGGTTCCCAACTCTAGTCCTTCAGGTCATCAACATCTTAAGTACATGAATGTAAATTTTTCTTTACAGATCTTGATTTAGGATTAAAGTAACCTAGAGAATTGTGTTGGATTGTGATCTTTGATGGACTAGAATAGGTATAAAGGCAGTCAGCAGTTAAACAATGACTGGCACCAGTCTTCAAATGGGTTTGGCTAAGTAAAACCCAAAAAGTGTTGTTGTGAAAATGATTTGCTGGTATCCTTGCAGTGCATGACTGTGATCCAGACCCATGACCTCCTCCGAAAGTTTATCCTGTTCCTGAGCCGTGAAGAGCAGTGTGGGGATATTTGTGTTTGTCTTGAAGGAAGCCACACATTGTGCTTGCTAGGTATGTCACTCTCCTAGCTACACTTTTCCATTCTGGTTTGTCATACTTCAGTAGGAAAGATCCCTTTGTAAACTAAAATCTAGATTATGTGCTTAATTTTAAATCAGGTTTTTAAGTCTCTCGTACATCTGTTGAATTTTTAAATTAATATTGCTCTGTTGAAATTATCCAGGATATATACAGCATATACTGCATGCTGCACCTTTGTTGTCAAATACCCCTTTCTTTACTGATGCATCAAAAAGTGTTCTTTTACTGCTTTGTGAAAGTATTAATAGTCTCTGGCAAAGTGCATAACAACACCGATTGGAGTCAGTGTTGTCTGCAGTGAAGTCTGTAAGCATGCTGAGCACTTTGAATGCATTTAAAATACATCATTAAGACAGTGATCAAAGAACTGAATCACACTGTTCAGTGTAAGACATGAACCATGTGTTAATTAAAATGGCCATCCTAATAATTGTGTACAGTATATATTCTCATCATGTGGGTCGGTAGAAACTTTGATATTCATGCATGTGCTACTGATCTTTAACGGTGTGTTATTGCTTAAGGTAACCTGATCCACCTGGCTTACCTGACAGAGAAAGTGCTAGAGGAGGAGGCAAATCACTTTGTGAAGGACCTGACAGACATGTTATCTTACTGCCAGAGATATGTGTCTCAGAAGAAGTCCAATCTCACACACTGGCACCCAGTCCTGGGTTGGTTCTCCCAGACCGTCGATTATGGGTCAGTAGAACCTTTCTGCAGTCTGACAGTGATTTGGAGTATTACGTTATGTTTGGCATTTGATGCAGTTGGCATCTGCACTTGTGTTGCTCAGAACAAGGCCGCTTTCTCACTCCGTTTCCTTGCGTCGTTCCAGATTGAACGAGTCCATGCCTTTGGTCACCAAGCAGCTGCAGTACCTGTGGGGGGTCCCGGTGATCCGGACCCTCTTCAGTGATGTTCTGAGTAAGAAACTGGAGAGCCAGGAGCCGGTCCCCGCACCTGCCCTGGCAGGGACATCACAGAACAACCTACCAGTCAAGAGTGAGTAAGACGGAGCTCCTTTCCCACTCTGTCTGCAACTGCTCAGTGGTATGGTGATACTTTAAAGATGTAAAGATTTCTGCTCTGGTTCCACGCATATTCTAGTGCTAGTACTCTCACCACACACCAGCTCTCAGTGACAAAACCGGTTTATAGATGGGGAGTATTAGGAGGCCATGATTGGTAGAGGCCAATGAGAAAGAGCACCGTTCCCGGTGACAGCTCCTGTTCTGTGTGTCCTCAGGCCTTTTCAAGAGGGCGTTTCAGAAGTCTGCGTCCGTGAGGAACATCCTGAAGCCGGTGGGGGGGAAGCGTGTTGACTCGGCGGAGGTGCAGAAGGTGTGCAGTATCTGTGTGCTCTACCAGACTGCTCTCACCACGCTCACCCAGATCAGACTGCAGATCCTCACAGGTGTGAACTCTACCATGAACGCCGGCTGGCGTTAGAGCCCTAAAGCCAGTTACTAAAACTGATTGCTTTTTCTCCGGTCATACGGCTCTTTAATTTCTTTACTTTGTGGATCTGCGATGAGCTGCGTTTGCTTTAATCCATGCCTGCATCATTACATTGCTGTGATGAGGATGATATTCTTCAGGATTCTTCTTTCATTTGCATTTTGAACTTTTGAGTCTGACTTTTACAGGGCATGTTGACTGAGAATGATGTTACATGTGACATGTTACAAAGTAGACGGGCAACCGACAGTAGAATTTTTTTTCCTTTTGCGATCTGTAAGAACCCTTGCATTAAAAAACCATCAGCCAAATGTTCATTATATGCAGTATTTTTTACTCCATCGCTGTTGTGTTCCACGTGGTCATGACTGTGGTTTGTCAAAGCGTTTCATTAGGATATGAAGCGACAGGAGGAATCTAGTATCACACCTTGTCTCTCCCTACAGGCTTGACGTACCTGGATGACCTGCTGCCCAAACTCTGGGCTTTTATCTGTGAGCTAGGACCCCATGGGGGTCTGAAGCTGTTCTTAGAATGCCTGAATAACGACACAGAAGAATCAAAACAGCTTCTGGCCATGCTCATGCTCTTCTGTGACTGCTCTCGCCATCTCATCACGTAAGCCAGAGACGCATACTAAGTTTAGACTGGGGCAAAACCTAATGCTACAGCTAAGATGTCAGGTGCTGGAGTGAAGGGCGAGTGGGAGAGCTCTAACCTGGCATTTTCCTTCTTTATCTTGAGAAATAACCACTTGTGGAAGTTGTGGATATTATCTCATTTACTCTCCGAATCACGTTCCTGGCATTGTCTGCTTACAGGATCCTGGATGACATTGAAGTCTACGAGGAGCAGATTTCGTTTAAATTAGAAGAGCTGGTCACCATCTCCTCCTTCTTAAACACTTTTGTGTACAAGATGATCTGGGATGGGATACTGGGTGAGTGCAGAACAATAGTGAATTGCTGTGCCTTCAGTCCCCTGTTGTTATACACACACATCTGGTGCTACAGGAAAATAGCTTTTCAAGTACTTAACTTTTGACAGGGGAAAAAAGGTACAACACAGCTGTATTGGATGGTAAATGTACTCATAAAATGTATATTAAAAATGTAACCATTTATCTGATTGTATTCCTTAGTATGTATGCAGTTCAGGTAGGAAGTCAGATATTCGCTTTAATGTAGGGTGCTTTCGTGTTTTAATTTTTTGAACGTGTTTTTAAGGATGCAGCTCAAAAATTGTATTTTACGCCAAAGCAATATAATGTTACGCCATCGTAGTCTTCTACAGATGTTTGAGTTGATCGGATTTCAGATACCATTGTGAAAAACCACAGCTTTGTCCAAACACCTTGACTTACAGAGTGGGTTTTGCCTAATTTCCTCAATATCCTCAGCCCAAGGCACATGTAAGAACAGGAGAGGAGAGAGGAGGCCATTCAGCCCATGTAGCCTATTGATATGAGGATCTCATCCATGTGTAGCTTGAATCAGACGTATCAGCTTCAGCCACATGGCTGTGTGACGTGTTCCATACGCCCACAATAATTTGCGTGAAGAAGTTCTCTTGTTTTAAAATGCCCGGTGTTCATGTGTTCCTTTGTGTGTTTGCAGAGAACGCGAAGGGAGAGAAGCTGGACCTGTTCCACTCGGTACACGGTTGGCTCATGGTCCTGTACGAGCGGGACTGTCGCAGGAGGTTTGCCCCTGATGACCACTGGCTGCGCAAGTGAGTGCTCGTGATGATCGTCTGCGCTGGTGCTGCACAGCAGTGATAGTGTTGCGTGAGGATGCATGGCCAGATACGGACTGTGAAAGGGGGTAAACAGAAAACTAGTGCAGCATTTCATTTAGCACAGTTTGATTTACTTGCCTCTCTTTTTGATCAGAGACCTCAAGCCCAGCCTTTTGTTTCAAGAGTTGGATAAGGGCAAGAAGAGAGCCCAGCTCTTACTACAGTACATCCCTCACGTCATTCCTCATAAAAATGTAAGTATTGAATAATGGGAGAATGAAGATTTTGCCTATCAGCTTGATTCACTCCGGTGGGGTTTTTGTTTCTTTTTGTCTCTCTCTGAGATTATGTTATTGTAGGAGCAACAACCTGTCTCATCCCACTGCCTGTTGACATATTCTCTCCTTCCTCCTAGAGAGTCTTGCTCTTCCGCAACATAGTGACGAAGGAAAAGGAGACTCTTGGATTGGTGGAGACGAGCTCCGCCTCCCCTCATGTCACTCACATCACCATCCGCCGCTCCCGAATGCTGGAGGTATCGGATGGGTTGAAACGGTGTAGGGCTTGTTCACATGTGTAATTCAGGGGAAAGTATTTAACCGTGAGGTCTCGACAGGAAGTTTAAATGAATCCCTTGTATCGAATATGCTAGCAGGTGCATAAGATGAGTGCTAGGTCTAGCCACAATTTTAATCAACAGAGCACTACATCTCTCAGAGAGTGGAGGGTAGAAAAAAAAATCACCTGTATGATCACTGCAAGCCAGAAATGTATTTGTAACCACCCTACTAGCACGTGGCCTTTGGTCTTATGGGGGTCGTCTCTTTCTTCCTCCTGCAGGATGGGTATGACCAACTGCGCCGGCTGCCTGTCAACTCCATCAAGGGGGTGATTCGGGTGAAGTTCGTCAATGACCTTGGGGTGGATGAGGCTGGCATCGACCAAGATGGAGTCTTCAAAGAGTTCCTGGAGGAGATCATCAAAAAGGTCTTCAACCCAGCTCTCAACCTCTTCCGGGTATGACGGATTCACATGTCAGCACACGTGATGATTCAGAGCGACTGCTTATAACTAATGAACTCTAAAGGTTGATCTTTTCTTTTGCCACAGACCACCAGTGGAAATGAAAGACTGTACCCTTCCCCGACATCCTACATCCACGAGAACCACCTGCAGCTCTTTGAGTTTGTGGGCAAGATGCTAGGCAAGGCTGTGTATGAGGTGAGCCAAGATTACAATGTCTAGAGAATCAACGAGAGAGAAATGTTACAGGTTTGAGGGCACTGCAGGATTTCTTAATCACATTTTTGGATCATTAAGAGTCAAACAAACAGATGAGCAGCCTGTTTTATTTCCTGTCATTTGGAACCCTTCTTGGTTGGGGCAGCTTTACTCTTTTGTTTCTGCAAGGAGTGATAAGCCTCATGTCTTCTTTAGCGTATGTAAGTTCTTGCCTTATGAGAGTCTAAACTTGCCGGTCACTGTGCTGTTTAGGGAATTGTGGTGGACGTGCCTTTCGCCTCGTTCTTCCTGAGTCAAGTCCTTGGGCACCATCACAGCACCTTCTACAGCTCCATTGACGAACTGCCCTCCTTGGACTCTGAGTTCTATAAAAACCTCACCTCTATCAAGGTAATAAAATTATACCTTACTAAATAAGTGTCATTATTCACGTTGCTTGTTGTTATGACTTGGGGCTTGATTTCAAATGACTTATGAGGTGTACATTCTCCTGCCATGAGAACTGTAACTGTCAATGCCATTACCGAGGGACATCAGCAAGAAGTCTCCTTCCTGCTCTTATTTGTCCTGCCCAGCTCAGGGCATACTCTACCAAGCTGTACAGAGACAGATCTTCCAGAGGGATACGTGCAGGCCGTCGAAGCAAACGTGTCTGTTTAAAGAGTGTTTAACTGCAGCCAGAAATGTACGATTCAGGTGAAATTGGACCAAAATGTTCACATGATCATATTTTTTTCTATCACAAGCGCTATGACGGGGATGTCAGTGACCTGGGTCTAACCTTGTCATATGATGAAGATGTCATGGGACAGGTAATGTCAGCTCTCTTCTTCAGTTGAGATTTTGTTGCTTACAGAAGAAAGTCTAATCTATACAATCTTAATTTACAGAAATGCTTTACTTCACATCAGTAGAGAGTTTGGAACATTACTAGCTATCAGTATGTGATCACGGAACCTTAAGGCAGGATTCCACATGTGATTCTTTCTTTAGTAGTTAAAGCTCTTTGGCTCTTTGTTCTTCTCAGTTGGTGTGCCATGAACTGATTCCTGGGGGAAAGACTATCCCAGTCACTAATGAAAACAAGTAAGTTAACCACATGCTGTGCTGGTTTCTTTAAAGGTCATGGTCATTCCCTAACATTTGTACATGCTTAGCAGAGATGACCTACAATTTAGGGTGAGTCGTCCAATCCCACCTAATTCCACAGATCTTTCTGAAGGCTTTTTCTAAAAAAAAAAAAGATTTGTGAACTGTCAAAATTGACAGTCTTTTGGGATTACCTCTGCTGCAGTGACGAAGGAAGTAGTAGGGAAAATGAATGGAATCGATGTGAAAATTTTAAAATTATTTTGCCATGGGGTCATGATTCAATGAACTCATATATGCCACTTTGCAGTACCTTACATAGTTACAGACATTGATATAATTAACTATGATTCTGAATTTGATGATGCTCCTTGCTCATGCCTTCTGTCCAGGATAAGCTACATCCACCTGATGGCTCACTTCAGGATGCACACACAGATCAAAGACCAAACGACAGCTTTCATCCGCGGGTTCCGCTGCATCATCAATCCCGAGTGGCTGCACATGTTCTCCACCCCTGAGGTGCAGCGTCTCATCTCCGGGGACAATGCCGAGATTGACCTGGAGGACCTCAAGTGGGTGTTCGGGCAAGGGGTGTGGGCAAGGGGTGTGGGCTGGGGACAAAGATGCACATGGCCACTGTGCTAGCTTCTTTAAAAATAGCTATGAGCTCAATACAAATGTAGGGTTTATTAAAAAAACATGTAGCGCTTTTTTGGAAATTCCACTCAAAGCTCTTTACAGGTATTGGGGACTCTCCACCACCACCAGTGTGCAGCCCCACCTGGATGATGCGACAGCAGCCATAGTGTGCCAGAACGCTCCCCCCACACCAGCTCTCAGTGGGGGGGAGAGCAGAGTGATGAAGCCAGTTCAGAGATGGCGGTTATTAATAGGTCATGACTGACAAAGGCCGGGGGGACATGTGGCCACCTGGGTAACACCCCTCCCATGCAGACTTATTATTAAATAATAGTAGCTGACTCTGCATGGCATGGGGTCACAGGTGGGATTCTTGTTTGAGATCTCTGGGGCAACCTTCAGGGAATGAATCATGTCCTGGCTGGATGTGGTTATGTCACTTGACTAGATCTCTTTTGTGGCGTACTGGCTACGATGGCAAGTGGAAACTGGTCTTAGGAACTGCATGTACTGAAAATAGTGGAAAAGGATAGAGGACAACTACAGCTGATCTCATAATTTCTTTTTTTTTTGTACAGGAAACATACAGTCTATTATGGTGGCTTCCATAGTAGTCACAGGGTAATAATCTGGCTGTGGGACATTTTATCCAATGACTTCACAGCCGAGGAGAGAGCCATGTTCCTTAAGGTAATCCTCTGTCATCCTCTCTGTCACAAAAGGCTGTGCCTAACGTGCAGAAAAATAAAATACAGCGAACTGTTTAGACTGCAAAAATGTAAAAATCGTAGACTCTTAAACAGTAAATTTCTCTCATTCTAAGAAAAAGTGGTTTCACTTTATTGTGCAGTGTCTAGACTGTTTAACAGGCTCCTTAATGCTTATCTGGAGATCCCGGTTATGATCTCAGCTGTTGTTATCGGTTTGCAGTTTGTCACCAGCTGTTCCCGACCTCCACTCCTGGGTTTCGCCTACCTCAAGCCGCCTTTCTCCATCCGCTGCGTGGAAGTGTCCGATGATCAGGTGAGGCAGTGCGAAGTCAGTTTTGATCATTATTCGCTTTCCCACACTCCTTGGGTGTTCTCTGCTTCGTGTCTCCAGAGAAACCATATAGACTGGTGTGCAGGCATATTAAACTAATTCGATCTCAGGGTAGTAAAAAGATTTTCTGTGTTTTGTTTTTTTTTAAGTGCATTCATTTCACTGCTAGTGCTCCCATTGGTTTTTTTAACGATTAAAAAAAAACACGATGACATGAATGTCAATACGGTCTGTTAATACTGTTTATACAGTCCCCTTTGAAGAGCTCTGTGCTTGTAGTTGGGAGGCCGCGATAAGAAAAATGTTGTCTCGGGACGGGGCTGTTTCAGACTTGTGGTGTGTTTCTGTAGGACACGGGAGACACGCTGGGCAGTGTCCTGAGGGGCTTCTTCACCATCCGCAAGAAGGAGCCAGGAGGCCGGCTGCCCACCTCATCCACCTGCTTCAACCTCCTCAAGCTCCCCAACTACAGCAAGAAGAGCATCCTGCGGGACAAGCTGCGCTACGCCATCAGCATGAACACGGGCTTTGAGCTCTCCTAGCACATGGCCCAGGGGACCAGAGAGGAGCTCACGCCACACGCCAGACACTGGGGCTCACTTACTGCCTTTGCACTCCTGCTCCATTTGGGACGAGATTTCTCCTGTCTGAGATTATGCCCTTTAATGTCATTTTTTTTTTCAGCAGTGTGCAACACGTCATTGTCAGTGAGTCTGTGTTGTTGCAGTTATGATTGTGTCAGAGCAGAATCACCGAACAGAAGCAAGTATAGCTCATTACTTTATTTTTAGTCCCAGCCCATTTAAAATCATTTTATTTTGTAAATTGATCAAATGTCCGTGGCTTCATCTTAAGCATTTTACGTGTCTCAGGCTCAGTAATCACTCCCATGACTTTTAAAAGTAGTTTGCATTGTCTCAAGTTTTTTAATATTAAACTTAACGAGAAAGCAATACAGATTTAAGCCATGAACCTTTCTAGTTTCAGAAACCAGCTGTATGGCATGCAACATTCAGTATTGTTCTCCAGGTTTGCTAAAATGATCTATATGGAGATTAATTAGATATTGGAGAAATAAGTCCAAATACAGTACAGTACTTGCAACTTGTTAATTTTGACGTTGCCAAAAAACACTGCATCAGATTTGCTCAGATAATGGTGACTAATTTTGTTTTCATTATCAGAGACTATATAGCAACTTATTTTTAAGAGGAGGTGTTTTTGTGTTTCTAGGAATTTCAGGAAAGACTAGCTTTATCTTTTGTAGTGGGTAATTGAGAAAATGTATAATTTCCATTATTGTATGTTTTAACAACATACTTATTTACCTCCCCCCATATAACAGAAGTTACCTCAGTCCCAACAAAACTAAAATTACACTACTTTATATAGAAACATACCTCCGTTTGTTTTCTGAAGGTAGGCAGAAAGCTGCTGAATTTAGTTTTCAAAATTGATCTTGTACTGTGAGGTGCAGTTGTAGGATGTGTATTTGATCATATTGTTGAAGAGCAAAACAGCCCTGAGTTCTATTGAAGCAACTTTCTGTACTAATTGGATTTAAAAAACAACAAAGCGGAAAAAAAAACACTATATGGCTCCTCAGATTGATGAAAGAGATTTGTTTCTTTTCACAAATTCACCTTGAAAAAGAAAGACTGATACTTCTTGAAATGTTTTGTTTTCTTATTTGTGAAGTATTTGCGCATTTATAGATTTCTTCCATTTAAATATTTTCAATTTATTGTTTAGTGTTTATAGAGAAATTAAAATTATGTACAGCTTTTCTTTTTGTATGAAAGTTCAGCATATTGTGGACAAAAGGTTTATGTTATCTCATCTTTTAATAGCTAAAGAATTGAATTTGATTTTAGAGCTGAACCTATGAGAAAGCATTGCATATTGAACCTAACCTTGGCATTTTGTCTAATTTGCTGTAGGTCAGTGGTTTAAACTGGAAAGGAAGATGTCAAATATTAAGGATAAATGATGTCAGTGTTTCTTACGGCTTTCAATACATCAAAACATGTTTATCCCAAAAATCAGAAATTTGTTTCCCCAGCAATTAATAGAGAGTTCTGTTAGGGATTATGCTTGTAACTCTCTCTATTGCTCCTTATTGAATAATGTGGGTTTTTCCTCATCTGCGTCTAGTGCAATACCAATGTGGTTAGTGAGCATTTGTAAGTCACTGTTCTTAAACGAACAACAGATACAAAATAATTCCTTCCATAGGGTTTTTAATGAATTAATCTGTCATATTTTGTAACAGTGTAATGACATCCAAGACGGTTTTTGTTTTCTTCACCATATTGTTGCCTTTGGTTCCATCAAGGGATTTGCCTTTTTGATTGCTGTAATGGTGTCTTTTGGAACCAAGCCATAACTGCTGGGAAGACTCAATTCCAGCAAAGACTGAGACCTGACTGCAAGCCACACTTTTGAGGCATATCAGACTCTGAATGGATGCATCTTTCACCTGGGGCAGATGAAATAGAAGACTGTAGAAGCAGCTGAGTGGTGACGCACACTGTAACTTTGTTTAACTTGTGTATGCATTTTCTTTAAGAAGAAAGAAAAAGAGACTAACCCGTGGACTGTAGACATGCAGCATTTTGGATTCCATGAAATATATCCTGAATCACTCCTTGGAGGTGATGTCCCTATATAGCTTTCTAATATAGTGACAGTTAGTTGGCCTTGAGTGACCATGTCTGATCTCTGTGTGAAATTGAAAAGATTGCAGATCTGATGGGTACCGTCAGGGTTGTGTAAGTTCAGAAACAGACTAGTGTTGGGTAGGATGCACCTCCTCTATTCATTGTTGAGAGCAGCGCCTAGCCCATGCATGAGTCTGAAAAATGGGACCTAGAGTGGAGAATGAAGAGACCATGGAAGCAATAGCCGATCAAATTTAAATTTTTATTATGCAAACAGTGTACTTGCATAGCATCGTTATGTCAGTATGTGTCTTGCTGTGGTGCACCAGACCCTTTACAACACTGTATTCCTTTCCAAGGTGATTTGTCGATTATTTGCCTGGATTTGTAAATAAATACATATCGAGATTTTCTTTAAACTGGGTATGACTTAAGGTGTTAACAGCAGTTGCCTTAGAGTTCTTCTCAGATCTCATTTTTATCTTATTCCTTCTCTTGACCAGAAAATGTAACACATGGTTGAAATTAATACTTAGATATTATCCGTTAGAACTGCCTTCTATGGATGAGCTTAATGTTCAAATATGTTACAGCCATTTTGACGTTTATTGTTAATCTGCAGATAACCTCCCAGCATCAGTATACCTGCTAAAAGATTGCATGTACCCAGGAAATGAAGGGCTTAATTTTTGCCATTTGGTGTACAATATTGCAATCTAAAGATGTCTCTGATGTGTAGCCTCGTGTGCTTTGTGTACCACTGACCTAACAGATATAAGGCAGAAAAGTTGTTTTTATTTGACTTTAGAAGGAATTATGGTACAACCATGAAGACCGTATAAAGGGACTCCAGTCTTGTCTAGCACTAGTCATGAGAAGCTTTTTAAAACTATTCCCTGAGTGGACATTGAACATAATTTCCACACCCTTGTGTTTTTTCTTTACCTTAAATGATACAGGAAGAAAACTGAGATTTATTTTAAAGGTATCTGGGAAAAATGAAGAAATTGTTGCACTATGAGAAACGCTAGTTGTGATACTGTTTCAATGTAATAAACGTGTTTAAAAATGTAAAATCTTACTAAAATGAAATGACTGCTGTAAGATACTAGTTGCAAGTAATGCTTTGTTTTTTTTAAATGTATACTTTACAATGAACTGAGTGTGTGCTGTTTTTGTTTATTCCACTTGATAATACCTAAGAAATTTCTTATAATGAGGGAAAACGATTTTCTACTTCCTAAAACAGATAATCCTAATCACATCCCCTCACTAAGAAAAAATAAGAACAGGAAGATTTTAATAAAAATTACTTTTTCTTATCAAATAACATTTCCCACATTTGTTGTTTCTGAACTGTTTAAAACAATACTAAACTTAATTTCATATACCACCTTTAACAGTGTGATCTCAAAGCACTTTACAGTAGGTTTAAAAAAACAGTTATAAGGATAGCACATTTCAATGTATGTATTTTACAATGAACTGTGTGTGCTGTGTTTGTTTATTCTACTTGATAATGCCTAAGAAATTTCTTAGGGAAAAAAGATTTTCTACTTTCTAAAACAGATAATTCTAAACACATCGCCTCACTAAAAAAAAATAAGAACAGGAAGATTTTAATAAAAATGACTTTTTATTCAATAAAATTTCCCACATTTCTTGTTTCTGAGCTATTTAAAAGTATAATAAACCTCATTTCATATAACACCTTTAATAGTACGATCTGAAAGCACTTTATCCAGTAGGTTTAAAAAATAGTTACAAGGATAGCACATTTCAAAGTATGTACATATAAGACAGTCGGTTAAAAAATGGCGTAGTCAAAGACATTGATTAAGTACAAGCCTTTCTGGAAAAGAAAGGTTTTGAGTTTAGATCTAAATGCATTCAGGGTAGGTGAATCTCTGATAACCCTGGTGATAGTATCCCAGAGCAAGAAAGGGCCCCGGACTCTCTAGAATGTATACGAGCTTGGGGGACAAACAATACAAGCGTTTGACAACTATTTCAGATCTTTTTTATAATTATTTTAATCGACGCGTGCTGATAGCCAAATACATACTAATATAAACCTATAAGTTATTGTATTGGGTCTCAGAAAGGGATTACGAAATAGGGTAGTGACAAATGGGTTTTGTTTACGCTTCAACTTTTAAAAAAAAGTTGGAGTCATCAATGGCTGATTAAAAGCCCACCTGCGTTTTTTTTTCCCCGTCTGTAATTTGTGGTTCTCCTGTTTTAGTCATGGGGTAGATCAACTCTACTGCGCAGCCTCAGAGACCCGTTAATACTTTGAAAGCGTCCAAAGAGACGCTAAGATTTAAACGCCAAACTTTTCTGGTTAGTCTGTTTCTGCAGTAACATTTTGTGAAGGATGTCCAGCTTGCAGACAAGTCCCTCTCCTTCTCGGTGGTTTAAGTCATTAAGGAGGTAGGTGCGGTGTGTTAATGTCGATCTTTAATTCATCATTTTTTATAAAAAATAAAATAAGAGCCCACCGAAGTCAACATCCATGTAAACAGATATGCATAATTAGCTTATTTTCTGTATAGTCGCTAAAGCAGTTGAATAATGCTTAGATACCCAGCAAACATCTTAATTCGTGTGACCATTCTTTTGATAAAGTCTTCAGTATTGTTCGTAATATCTTTTTCTGGTGTTTAATATTGTGTTTGCATTACGTTTAATGGCTGCATATTTTTATTTAGGTATTTTTCTTAAATGGACAGCTTTAGTTTTTCGCTCATACAAGCTCTGTAATTAGTGAGCTTTTAATTTTATGTCTGTTGCTCGTTGTCAGAATAGAAGAGCTTCAATTTAGCAACGGTTTTGAGGGTTGCGCTTAAAATAACGAGCTAAACGACAAAAGTAAGCTTAATATTATTCCCACTTTCTGTCCCTTCTCTGAGCTCGGGGTGTGAAGCATCTCTCACGCTTGCAAAACTGTTTTGAGAACATCGGTCTGATTTTAACAGCCTCTTAGAACTCAAAGAAGAAAGTTCAGACGACCCGTAACAATTGTGTCCCAGCTGGAAGCAGAAAATCAAAACATTAGTTGCAAAGCAAGCAAACTTAACTTTTTGAAAGGTTGGAAACTGATCTAATCCATGTTTAAACGTGTAGGGAACATTTCAGATGTAACCTGTTAAGCAATATTGTATTAGATCCTAACAGGACATTACAAAACCTCCCTTAAAAGTATATCAAGATTATGTTTCCTCCTAAAAAATATGAGCTGGTCAAATTCCTATGGTTTTATATTTTTAATTTAATTACATATGTACAGTAAAAGCACTGGTTATTGTTGCCCGAATGTATTTTTGCTTGTATATCATGCATGATGATTTGTGAGGCGACTGAACACCAAGAGTAGCGACGTGCGTATCGGACGTGCAGAGGGAAGCTGGTGCGGTATATTGACGTTTCT